TTCCTTGTGTCTTCCTTGGCTTTGTCCCGGACGCGTCTGGTTGGCAGTTTTACCACCCCACCTCGCGCCGTGTCCTGCCTTCTCAGGACGTCACTTTCGACGAGTCCGTCCCCTACTACCGCCTCTTCCCCTACCGCACTGCCCCGCTTCCCCCCCCGCCTCTCTTCCTCGCGCCAGGTGCTGCTGTGGTAGACCCCCTCCCCCCTCAGGGTGCCGCTCCCTCAGGTGTGTCCCAGGTAGACCCGGTTGAGCCTGTCGAGGTAGCTGTCGACTCTCGTCCTGCTAGGGGTGCTGAGCCTGAGGGTGCTGAGCCTGAGCGTGCGGAGCCTGGGGGTGCGGAGCCTGGGGGTGCGGAGCCTAGGGTTGCGGAGTCTGGGGGTGCTGAGCCTGGGGGTGCTGAGCCTGGGGGTGCGGAGCCTGCGGGTGCTGAGTCTGGGGGTGCTGAGTCTGGAGGTACTGAGCCTGGGAGTGCTACACCTGGAGGAGCTCTCTCCTCACAGCAGCTGCGTGAGTGGTACTTACAGTACTGCAGCCTCAGGAGAGGTGCTTCTGGAGCCAGGAGTACTGCTGGAGCTGGTGCTAGTGCTCCTAGTGTCGCGGACCCAGCTGCTGGAGGTTCTGCTGCTGGCGGTGCTTCTGGCGCTGCTGGAGGTACTGCTGGTGCTGGAGCTGCTGGTGCTGCTGACGCTGCTGGAGGTGCTGCTGGTGCTGGTGGTACTGCTGGTGCTACTGGAGCTGCTGGAGGTGCTGCTGGTGCTTGGGCTGCTGGAGCTGCTGGAGGTGCTGCTTCTTCTGGAGGTGCTGCTGGTGCTGCGGACCCTGGAGTTGGAGCTGCTGCTGGTGCTGAGGACCCGGGCGTTGGAGCTGCTGCTGGTGCTGCGGACCCGGGCGTTGGAGTTGCTGCTGGTGCTGCGGACCCTGGAGTTGGAGCTGCTGCTGGTGCTGAGGACCCTGGAGGTGGAGCTGCTGCTGGTGCTGAGGACCCTGGCGCTGGTGTCTCTGCTGGTTCTGGAGACGCTGCGCGGCCGCGGCCGTACTTCGTTCTGCTCCTTCAGCAGGTTCTTGGTCAGCCTCCTCCTCCTTGTCCTCCTCCCTCCTTAGAGTGTCCTCCGTCTGTCCAGTCGCAGTCACAGTTACCGTCTGCCTCCCCTCTCCCTGGTCCTTCTCCTTACACTGGTCCGACTGGAGGTCTTACAGAGCGTCGTGAGCCTGAGTCTCGTCCTGCGTCGCCTGAGTCTCGTCGAGCGTCGCCTGTTCGTGCTGCTCACACTGGTCGTCGTGTCCCGCGTCAGCGTCCTCCTGCTGTCCCAGGCACTCACCAGATGGCGCTTCGTCCTTCCACTGCTCCCCAGCGTGTCCCTCTCCCGTCTCCTCCTGCGTCCTCTCTTCCTGCTCTTGCTGACCCTGAGTCTGACTCCCTTCGTGCTGCCAGTCCTACTGTCATGCGTCTCCTGGCTACTGTTGTCACTGACCCTTCCTTTGAGTCCACTGCTGCGTCTGCCTTAGTTGCCGAGCTTGTCGACTTTGCTGCCACTTGTCGTCTAGACTACGCCGCTAGCCTAGTTGCTGAGTCTGAGTCTGTCTGTCCTCCGTCCGTCGGGGGTGAGTGTGCTCTGGGCACGGACGTCCTTGAGGACAGGCAGGAGGAGTTTGAGTGCTTTGCCGCTGCTTTACCTCATCTCGTGTCCATGCTAGTTGCCCCTGAGGGAGACCCGGATGCACCAGACATCCCGACTCCGCGCTCTTACGCAGAGGCGATAGAGGGTCCCTACTCCTCTCAGTGGCAGACAGCCATGGACGCAGAGATGGCTTCCTGGAAGTCCACAGGCACCTACGTCGACGAGGTTCCCCCACCTGGGGCGAACATCGTCAGTGGCATGTGGATTTTCAGGGTGAAGCGGCCGCCGGGTCCTCCGCCTGTCTTCAAGGCGCGTTACGTTGCACGAGGCTTCAGTCAGCGAGAGGGAGTTGACTTCTTCCAGACCTTCTCCCCGACCCCGAAGATGACCACTCTTCGGGTCCTGCTGCACGTCGCCGCTCAGCGTGACTACGAGCTCCACTCTCTTGACTTCAGCACTGCTTTCCTACAGGGCAGCCTGCACGAGGAGATCTGGCTGCGCCGCCCACCTGGCTTCACTGGGTCGTTCCCTCCTCGTACCCAGTGGAGCCTCCGGCGGCCAGTCTACGGTCTCCGACAGGCGCCACGTGAGTGGCACGACACACTGAGGACTACACTTGCGGCTCTTGGGTTCGCTCCTTCTACTGCTGACCCGTCGCTGTTTCTACGCACCGACACCTCGCTGCCGCCGTTCTAAATCCTCGTGTACGTCAACGACTTGGTCTTTGCCACTGCAGACACTGCGGCACTCGCCCACGTGAAGTCGGAGCTGCAGAAGAGACACACGTGCACAGACCTGGGTGAACTGACAAGCTATCTTGGCTTGCGGATCACCCGGGACAGAGCACGGCGCACCATCACCTTGACTCAGTCACACATGGTGCAGCAGGTCCTTCCGCTTCACGTACTCCTCGCCTCAGCCCACTCCTCTGCCTACCGGTCACTCGCTCTCAGCTCTGCCTTCGGATGAGTCCGTAGAGCCGAGTGGCCCGTATCAAGAGCTTGTGGGCTGCCTCATGTACCTGATGACCTGCACTCGACCTGACCTTGCATACCCTCTTAGCATCCTTGCACACTATGTCGCTCCTGGCCGTCACCGGAAGGAGCACATGGATGCCGCTAAGAGGGTGTTGCGCTACTTGTGCAGTACGTCGGGCATGGGGCTAGTGCTTGGAGGACGAGACCGAGTTGTACTCACTGGGCACTCAGACGCGTCTTGGGCTGACGACCAGGCTACTCAGCGGTCGTCTCAGGGTTACACCTTCAGCCTTGGCTCTGGTTCAGTTTCTTGGCGTTCTATACGCTCGTCTTCTGTTCTCAGCTCCAGTTGTGAGGCTGAGATCTACGCCACAGCCATGGCTGCACAGGAGTTACGCTGGCTCACCTACCTGCTGACCGACTTGGGAGAGCGGCCTCGTTCTCCTCCAGTGCTGTACGTCGACAACAAGGCTGCCATTGCCTTGTGTGAGGAGCACAGACTGGAGCACAGAACGAAGCATATCGCTCTGCGCTACTTCCTTGCTCGAGAGCTGCAGCAGCGCGGTCAGCTTCGTCTGCGTTACGTGGCCACTCGGGCCAACACTGCTGATGTGTTCACCAAGGCGCTTCAGCCTTGTGACCATCAGCGCTTCTGTACTGTTCTAGGCCTCGTGCCTACTGGGCCTCACTTGCTTACTTCTTGACTCTGCTTGTACTGTGATCTCTATATATATACCTGCTTGTTTACTCTTGCTAGGTTGTGATCACTGTATCTCTTGTTATACTATCAACCTGCATGTGAACTGGTCTTGTGACCACTTGCTTGTGCTCAGAATTTGTGTGGTTTCCTTGAGATCCACCCTGAGCTTGCTTTGCTTTGCTTTGACTGGTCTTGTGACCATCTGGTTGTCTCCCACTTAGCCTATGGGGGTGTGTCAAACATTATATGTTTATATTGTGTAGGCTATAGTGGGTTTAGCCTTAGGGGGTACAGCTTTGTTAGGGTTTCCTACTTGTATCCCCCTCCTACCTAGTTTCATCCATTCTCGTTCTATTCTAGATTCTAACATACTATGCTAGGTCTTGTGCCTACCGGGCCTCACTTGCTTACCTCTTGACTTTGCTTGTACTGTGATCTATATATACCTGCTCCTGCATGCTTACCTTTGCTAGGTTGTGATCACTGTCTTGCTTGTTCGTTTTGATTCATAATCCTGCATGTGAACTGGCCTTGTGGCCTTTGAACTTGTGCTCGGAATGTGTGGTGACGTTGTGATCCACCCTGAGCTTACTTTGCTTTGCTTGACTGGTCTTGTGACCCCTTGTTCTCCCCCACTTTGCCTATGGGGGTGTGTCAAACATACATGATATAGCCTGTGTAGGCTGTAGTGGGGTAGCCGATAGGGGGTACAACTTTTCTAGGGTTTCATACTTGTACCTTTCTCATTCCTAGTCAATCCATTTCCTCGTTCTTATTCTCACACGCTGATCCATCAGGATTCAGCATACCCTCAAACCAATCTGAGGGCCTGAGCGCCACCCTCTGCAATTTGTTTTTCTAGTTCTACTGGAAACGCTGTAACGAAACACAATTTTGCATCCCCACATTCATAATTTCAAAACCCTTCCCCCTCGCGCGACTCAATACCTTCGCGTCCAGTCAGAATGAGCTGTCATGGGCCAGGGCCTCAGATTGGTTTTGAGCTAGGCTGAACCAATCAGAGTTGGTACAAAAAATTATGCTAAAAATCAGAAAACTCTGCCATTATATGCCAGTTTACACTACAAATCACAAATTTTCCTGTTTTTTCACCGAAAAATGCTGAATAATCAGCCACAGTTCTAAAAAAGGTCTGAAATCTCAGCCTTTTTTACCCAAATCAGCCTTTTTTCGCTGACTTCTGAGGCCCTGTCATGGGCTCAATCTGACTCATTCTGACTGTGTGTGTTGGCAGGGAATCAGCCACCTCCAATTTACGCGAAATTCACATTCATTGCCCTCCACAATATCGATTCGATTCAAATCGCAAGAACGAGATGAACACTTTAGTGTAAAAAAACTAGATTTCATATGTCATAATATAAGCCCCGGCGCGGCGCTTATAAAGATCCTCAAATATAATAAGCCCAGCCCACCCTAAAAAACAGTGTTTTTTATACCCCCAGGGGCGCTTCTATCCGGGGGCTGACGGTATGCTGCAGGTAGTCACTACCAATATGAAATGAGCACAATCTCCATAAAAAGCGCGTTGATGCTACCAAATTCACAAGGTCAAACTCACATCGTACAACCGTGGCGCATAATAACACAATGAGCGACACCCTGGCCCATGGGTCCCATGTTGGAGCGACACTTTTGCGGATGCCCTTACAATGCTCAAACATGAACTTGAAATGGGCATGCTTATAAGGGTCGCTTCTTCACCTTCCCGCAAAGTGCATGACCATTTTTCGGATGAGACACAACCATATGGGTGCCTGATGATTGATGAGTATAGGAAAGAATGAATGCCCGAATATCCGCCTGTGGTAATGGACCCACAATTATTGAGGAAGCGAAGCTGTAACGCTTCGGCCAATCACCCCTCGTTCTCGTGATGTTCTTCCAACCAACACCTACATATTCTTCCTTAAACTTGCCGGCAAGGCAATTCGAAAGGGGGGTTATGCAGGGCGCAGCCCCTCCAGACCGGAGGTTGTTCAGTCGTGTCATAAGCACGAGGTAGCTGTCACTTGCAGAGGCCCTGTCACCGAGGCAAGGGAGAATAGGAGGGGAAGGAGCACCACGTGTTGATTCATGTGCCCCCCCACATGATATTTGTGCAAGAACAGGAAAAAAAGGCACGTTCACACTCTTAATAAATTACCATAGGCAGCAACCTGATTTCTGCGTTAATCTGAATCGTCCAAGATATTATCAATAACGTTGATGGCAAGAACTGCCAGCATTTCCATGGCTGCACCAAGCCAACTACTACGGTTAAGAAATGGCGAACTTACTTGACTCCCTTTAAAACATTTCTTCCAGTTGCTCCTCGGTCGCCAACCACTTTTCCGTTGCTACGAGGGGGAGTGAGCCTGGCCACATAGCGCACTGGAAAGGGAAGGCCGGGAATGCACAAAGGTAACTGAAAGAACACGCAAGTAGTTTCTGCTTCTCTTCTTTGGGTGATTGGTCCAAGAGGATTAGTATATGCATTGACTCGTACGTGAGCCAGACTATCCGTTCTAAAAAGGCAGCACGATCCTATGCTCCAGACAGACGGAGCACAACCCGTTTTTTGAAGCTGACAGATCTTTCATGAAATCATTGATAAGTTTCCAAGAATTCCGGGAAAAAAAAAAAACAAACAAAATCCAAGCTGAAGGAAGCACTTACTAAACACCTTTCCCTTCACCGACAGAGTGGCGTGAGCGGAGGAAGTGACAGGGAGCCGTCCGGCGGTGGGGAGGAAGGCTGCGAGGGACGCTCGAGGTGACGCTGGGGGAGTCGTTGGGAGCGATGATGACGTTGCAGACTCTGCACCCACCGTGACGACCGTTACAACTGCACAAGGCACACAAACACCACCCAAAACGAGCTTTAATCAGAAGGCGGCAGAGCCGTCGGATGCACTTGCGAAAGGTCAATGGGCGGCGCTCACGTATTAGCACCCAGCAAAGCACAGTCCGCTCCATGATAAGAGATGAGAGAGAGACGAGCCGTCAACGGTTGATATAGTACCGTACTAGTGATCATAAGATAAGCAGGTTTCAGAGCGAGCAAAGTTGCTGCAGGACTAGATAGCGCGATGTTCAAGAGCAACCATCTTCATATCAGTTCGGTGCTAATCTTGGACGGACCATCGTCGTGCCGAGTCGCGACGTGAAATCTTTCAGCAGCACGACATGCTTGTTGCATAAGCTCATAAATGATTCGCGCTGCACATGCCCAAGTGGGCGGCGGGAGGGAGGAATGGTCAGATTGGAAAGGTGTCTGACTTTCCCCGTTCTGACACGTGTACTGAGTCGTCGGATTCCTCAGTCCAGAAGCTCGCCATTGTGTGAAAGCTAGGTTTACGTAGAGGGATATTCCAATGCATCACCCCGCAGAAACAATATATTTTGAGTTGAAGGGGGAGACGAAGTTCCTGACCTGACCCAACCAGAGCTGACGAAGCGAAAAGGCTTGGCGTGGACTTGTCAGTGACGACTTCGCGAACGTGAGCTGGCAAACGTGGTAATAACAGTGATGGTTTCGCGAGATTTCACTAACCACCTCCGCACAGAACAACTCGTCATAAGTTGACTCCCAGCTTTACTCTCTTTAATAAAAAACTATTAGCTTGTCTGACTGAAATGCTCAACAATACGCTAATCTATTATTATTATCACCGCACTGATATTTTTTTCCCGTACACCATGCTTCGCAATGTGCTGAAATCAGGGCAAGGATGGGATACATCGGTTTTTTTTTTTTTTTTTTTTTTAGTAATTTTTCCCCTCTTCTGCTTCAGCTCATATCACAAGTTCAAACGTACTGTGTAAAGTTATGGCACTCCCAGGTCAACTACAGGACATGCCACTTGGCTTCCATATAGCATGTGGTGCTAGACCCAAGTGTGCGTGGGCACAGCGTGGTGTGGTACGACATGGTGCAGTGCGATGTGACAACTGCATTGTTGGTGCTATTGAATCACCAGTTCCTTCTAGCTGTTAAAAAAAAAAACGACTGCCTTGGAATCAAGAGAAGGTGAGGTTGGGAAGAGGAAAGGGCATGGTGTTGCCAACAGTGGTGGAGTTGATGTCAGCATTGGCGATGACCTCTTATGCATAGCTACTAGCACAATAAAATATCAACATGGGCCCTGTGCTGCCATTGTTGCATGAAGAGAAATTCAGGTTGGTAGGAGGTAGGGGAATGGAGCTGCCGAATGTGGTGGATTGATATCAGCATTGACAATGGCCTCATGCACTTCCAGCCACATATGCCCTTTCCTCCCATGGGGGGGACACAGGTGTTGCGTGGAAGCAAAGGGGAAGGCTTGATGTTAGATACATGTTTGAGATGTCCCAGAACCGAGTTGACACCTGCACTAGAGATGGCCTCATGCACCGTTTCCAGCCAGCCATAGATGCGGCTGCAGAGGGGTTGGGTAAGGGCGAGAGAAGGCATTGAAGGGGGGGAAGGGGAAGGTGTGGCGCTACTGCTGAACCGCAATGCAGATGACCGGGAGGAACTAAGGCATAGTTGCATGCCATGTAACTTTCCAAACTCACCACTCCCCCTTGCTTTCTTCCTCCCCTCTTGGGATGACTGTTCAAGCACCCTACAGAAGGTGCTAGAGTGTCTGGGAAGGGACAGAGTGGGCCGCACGCAGTTGACGGAGAAGACAGAGAAGGAGCTCGGATCTGTCAGGCACTGCCACAACCGCTTGCTGCCTGTTCTTCCCAACAAGTCCATGTTAAGGTTGGGTCCGCTATTGTATGCTATTGTGTGGCATTGGGTGGGGTGGGGAAAGGGGTGGGGATGCAGAGAATGCTGACCATTGCATGGAGCTCATGGTTGCCAGACATTGGCAGGACGACTCGACCCCTCTTCTACTAATCGATTCCATGGTATGCTAGGGTGGGGTGGGGTGGGTTGGGGTGGTACGGTAGGGTGGCATTGGGGGGTGGGGGTAGTGTGGTGGGGTGGAGAGAAATCTGCATCCCTGTATCTGCTCCTGCCCTTCCTTTATAAACCTGCCTCCCATTCCTTTACTTCGCACCCCTTACCACCAACAGGCCTGCCCCGAGGCATCGACGGAAGTGCTAGAAACAGGGCTGAGGGTGGCGTTAAGGGGGGAGAGTCTGCTATAGTCTGTGCTGCGTGTTCTTGTACCTGCTCCCTCACAACCTCCACTCATACTCGCCTCTTTTTTGTACCCTTCACCATTAGCTGGTTCGCCCCAAGGCTTTGAAGGAGGCGATAGAAGCAGTGTTGAGGGGGACGGGGAGAGTCTTGGAGTCTGTGCTGCGTGTCCCTGTACCCGCTCCCCCACAACCCCCATCTATACCACCCTTCCCCCTCTTTCACCATTCTTCCCACCCAGGTTCGCCTTAAGGCTTTTATGGAAGTGCTAGAAGTGTCTCAAGGAGGAATGACAGAGGGGGGAAGTGAGCCCACTGCAGTTTGTGCTGTGTGTCTCCATACCTGCTCTATAACCTCCATCCAAACCACCCATCCCCTCTCTCTCCCCTCTCTTTCACCTAGGCTCAATGTAAGGCTATGATGGAAGGATTACAATTGGAAATGAGGGGAAAACCAGGAGGGACTAGAGCTTGCTGAAGTCTGTGTTGCGGTCCCCATACTTGCTCCCCCACAACCCCCATCCGCACCACCCACCCCTCTCTCTCCCCTCCCTTTCACCTAGTTTCGCCCCAAGTCTCTGATGGAAGCACTGGAATCAGCACTGAGGGGAACGCCAGCCTTCTGCAGTCAGTGCTGCATGTCCTCATATGTCGCGCGGACTACAGGGCAGGGCGGCGCGCGGGCAGCAGGGCAGGGCTTCTAGGGCAGTACGTACAGTTGCTGGGCCCTAACGGAGCGGTCCTACGGAGGGAATTGCTCTGATACCATGTCACAAACAAAACGTAGGAATGATTCACTAGTAGGCAAGCATGAGTACAAGTACTAGGAATGACCGACTGTGTTTTACTCCTTATATTATGCCCCACTACATCCTAGAGAGAACAAATGCAATTTGACATCATACCCACTCGTCACAACCCCATCCGCACCACCCATCCCCCTTCTCTCCCGTTCCTTTCACTCAGGTTCACCCCAAGGCTTTAATGGAGGAGCTAGAAGTGGCACCGAGAGCGACCCCATGGGGAGAGAGTCTGCTGAAGTCTGTGTTGCGTGTCCTCATACCCACTCTCCGACAACCCCCATCCACACCACCCATCCCCCCAATCTCCCCTCTTGTTTACCCAAGTTCGGCCCTAGGCTCTAATGGAGGCGCTAGAAGCAGCGCTGAGGACGACCCTAGGGGAGGAGAGTCTCGTGCAGTCCCTGCTCCCGCTCCTTCCTCGTAGAAGTTTAGTGGGAAGATGCTTTGCCTGAGGACAAAGCTGTGAGTTTTGAACTATCTTCAAAATAAGTGGGCGCCGCTGGCAGATGGGGGCAAGCCTAGTGGAGCAAAGCTTAGCAGGAGGGTACTATTCGTGGAGGACAATGCATTTGAACTGCCCTCCAAACGGGAGGGTGTTGGTAGGTGGGGGCAAGCCCAGCAGATCAAAGCTTAGTGTGAGGATACAGTTGGCAGAGGACAATGTGGTGAGTTCTTCCAAACGGGAGGGCGTTGGTAGGTGGGGGCAAGCCAGCAGACCGAAGCTTAGTGGGAGGATACTTTTGGCAGAGAGGAATGCGACGAATTTTGAAATGTTTCCCAAATGGGAGGGTGTTGATAAGTGGGGGCAAGCCCAAAAGATCGAAGCGTTGTAAGAGGATGCTGTTGGCGGAGGACAGTGTGGTGAGTTTTGAATTGTCTTCCCAATGGAAGGGCGTTGGCAGGTAGGGGCAAGCCTAATGGACCGAAGCTTATTGAGATAAAGATGTTGGCAGAGGACAATGCGTGAGTTTTAAACTCTTTTCCAAATGGGCGGGCGCTGGCAGGTGGGGCCAAGCCCAGCGGTCCAAAGCTTAGTGGGAGGAAACTGTTGGCAAAGGACAATGAGATGAGTTTTAAAGATTATCTTTCTTCTTATGAGAGGGTGCTAGCAGGTGGGGGCAAGCGCAACGTACCGAAGCTTAGCTGCTGGATTCTGCTGGCGGAAGACAATGCGGTGAGTCAACATTCTTGGGTTGATTCAAAAGTATGCTGGCGTCGATGAGCAAAGAGTCATGAGTGTCGCTGAGAACATTGGTGAGCCGTCTTGCTCATACTTCAGTCTGGAAGTTGTTGGTAGAGCCCCACCATGGGCCACGTGCTGGGAGATCTGCTCGGGATGAAGGAGGAGGTGTTTGGGGAAGCAGAGACGTATAGATATGCATACCGCATTGACGAGGAGATTGGCAGCTTGGCACCTTACACGGCGAACTTTGATCCTTAGCTAGCTCGTATGGAACCGATAAGAATGTAGAGTCTTTCATCTAGTGATGCATGATTGGCTCAACGCTGTGTGGCTGGCTGAGGCGCACAGAGGTGAACGGAGAGATTGGCAGCTCAGCGGCTTGCATGGTGGGATTTGATGCTCAGCTGGCGTGCGTCGAGCAAAGGGGATCTCAGAGTATTTCATTTGGTAATGCATGCTCGGAAATCTCGCACCTAGTAGGCACGAGCGCTGCGTCCTTTGGTGCTCAGTTGGCTCGTGTAGAGAAGATGGGCATGAGGGAGGAGGTGCTACACAGGGTGTGACGCATAGAGCTGCATGCCGCTTTGACGTGGAGGTTGGGAGTTCAGCGGCTCACACGGTAGACTTTGATGCCCAGCTGGCTCGTGTGGAGCAGATGGGCACGGAGAGCCGACCATCTACCGATGCAGGACTTGTTGTAGGAGCGAGCGTTGCACCCTTTGGTGTTAGTTAGGCTCGTATGGAGCAGATAGGCATGCAGATGGTTCACCTGCTGGTGCATGATTTGTTGTAGGTGCACGCGTTGCTGCTGTGCATTTGATGATTTCTGAGACGTGGGCTGCATTTCCGTTGGACGTTCCCTCCACTCCATGTTGTGTTCCCTCTGCGAGTTGTTTTTCACATGTGTAGAAAGTGTAAGTAATTTCGTTTCATTTTAAAATAGGTGTAGCATCAAGCCACTGGATAGGATTCAAGCTTATCATGGGTTATCAGCGTGTGCTGGACTCAAGAGAGTATTTGAGCCCGCAAACAATAGTATGTACCATATGTAGGAATTCGATCGCAGAGACATGGTAATTTGTACACATTCACACACATTCTTTTGACAGATGTCTTTGTGGAAAGGTAACAGAAAACTATTTGTCAATCATATTTCTATTCTTCTGCTTGACTTGAGATCTTTTGTGCAATCTCAGCAAAAACGCGTCCCCGATGCTCGAAGTTGTCAAACTCGTCAAAGCTGGCACATGCTGGGCTGAGAAGGATCGTGTCACCTGGAGGAGTGATGTGAGCACATGATGGGGTGTGGAAATGTGGGAGGAGGTGAAACTTGGTGGCAAGGGACGAGAGAGAGGCAAGGAAGAGGAGACAAAGTATGAAGTTCACTATAAGGAGCAGAGACTTAGCCCCCATGCCTCGCCTGCTACATTGATACGAATTGACTACTAATGGGGATGGAGATATCAGCTGGGCCTTGGAACTTGGCACTCAGCAGCAGGGGTAGTGGTGTGTGCAGCAGGATGCTTGGCTTGCTTGCTGCATACTGTGGTGCGGTGCGGTGACTGGAATACCCGAGTGCATATTGTGGTGTTCAAGTGATTGAAGAAGGGTTTTGAGACGTCTCAAAACCCTTCTTCAATCACCTTGCTGCATACTGTGGTACGGTGACTGGAATACCCGAGTGCATATTGTGGTGTTCAAAGAGTGGATTGGGCAGAGATACCCCAGACTGTGGGCTCTATGAGCTGCTGTGAGCTGCTGTGAGCTGCTGTGAGCTGCTGTGAGCAGAGACAAGGCTCACCAGGAAGAGCTGTGTCCGCACCGCAGCAGCACACATGGCTTGCTGCAATGTGGTGCACTGAATGAGAGCGAGTGTGAGACACAGACACCTCTGTCTGTACGCAAGTCGACTCCAACATCACCACAACACTCACCAGGGAGAGCAGTCTCCGCAGCAGTAGACGCATTACTTGCTGCATCACGGTGCAGCGGCTGAGCTGAGAGAGGAAGCGAGATCCGACATCGACTCAGCAACAGTGACAAATACTCACCCCCAGTTTGAAGACGTCTCAAACCGTATTTTGAGAGAGAGAGAAAAAAAAAAAAAAAAAAAACAGAAGCGAGACCCAACACCGACTCAGCAACAATGACAAGCACTGAACCCCAGTTTCAAGACGTCTCAAAACCCAAGAGACCCAAGGCAGCTACCGCAAGACTCACCCGGGAGGCCTGTCTCGGCAGCAGCATGCATGGCTTGCTCCATTGTGGTGCACGGAATGAGAGCGACTGAGAGACCCGAGGCTGTGAGCTCACTTGCAATAGACGGGCCTGATTGGCCAAACTGATGGGAGGGAGGGCGAAGAGGATGGGGTGGGGAGAGGCAGAAGCGAGGATGGGGGGGGAAGAGGCAGAAGCGAGGATGCGGGGAGGGAGAACAGGGTGGGGCAGTGAATGGGTGGATGGTGAGGTTTGAGGTTGTGAGCTCACTCGCAATGGGCGGACCTCATTGGTTGAGCTGATGGGAGGGAGGGTGAAGGGGATGAATTGATGGGTGGAGAGACCGAGGCTGTGACCTAGCTGCGAATGAATGCTGCGACTGAGGGAACTAGCACCCCACTGTAATCACCCCCCACGAGTATCTAAACTCGTTTATGAGTCGACTAAAAAACAATCCTAGCTGGGAATGAATGGAGGGGGAATAGCCCCCCACTGTAATCAACCCCCACGAGTATCTTGACTCGACTAAAACATACCTAGCTGGGAGTAGCAGGGGAGGGGGAACAAACACCTCTGCAATCAACCACCACCAAACTGCTATTGCCACTGCCCTCTAATTAGCGTTGTCTCACTAGCTCTCACTTATGCCGTCCCTTTAGCGTCAATTCAATAATGTCCTCCCATTACTGTCATGTCATCTACATAATAACATTCCAATCACAATCCCCCGCATCCCGGCGATTGTGACGGCAGTGCATGAGCGATTGAGCACAGCGGGATGAGCTTGGGGAAATCAAGCAGGAGAGGGGCTGGAGAGGAGCGGCGATACACTTGTTATAATCACAAATATCACACGCTCAGAGTGATCATGGCTCAATCCTGGATGCACACTGGAACTAACTTGCACAAGGCCAGTGGGGGGAGGGGGCTTAGCTGAGAAGGATCAGCCCTGAAAAAATCTCAGAGCTATACTCGCTACAGTCACCAACACCACACACTCACAGTGATGACAGCTCGATGGCGGTTGAGCAGTGGAACGAGCTTGGAGAAGCCCAGAGCAGAGGAAGGAACAACCTTGGTATGTCTCACATTACACTCGCTCACGATAATCCCAACACCACACACTCACAGTGATCACGGCTCGATGGCGGTTGAGCACGGGGACGAGCTTGGAGAAGCCCAGAGGGGAGGCGTCAGAAGCTCCTCCTGTGTCTGCTTCTGCGAGGGACTTCAAGACCTGAGAGCAGATGATGACAGCAACAAAAACAAGTCCCGAGACCAAAACAACGCATAAGACGTACACACCACCACCCCCACCATCACGCACCACCAACGAGTGCCTACAATGAAAGAGGAGCACAAGTGCCTACCATCACCATGTTTTGAGTCGACTCAAAACTAGACCCACCACCAACGAGTGCCTACAATGAAAGAGGCGCAAAAGTGCCTACCATCACCATGTTTTGAGTCGACTCAAAACTAGACCCACCACCAACGAGTGCCTACAATGGAAGAGGCGCAAAAGTGCCTACCATCACCATGTTTTGAGTCGACTCAAAACTAGACCCACCACCAACGAGTGCCTACAATGAAAGAGGAGCACAAGTGCCTACCATCACCATGTTTTGAGTCGACTCAAAACTAGACCCACCACCAACGAGTGCCTACAATGGAAGAGGAGCACAAGTGCCTACCATCACCATGTTTTGAGTCGACTCAAAACTAGACCCACCACCAACGAGTGCCTACAATGAAAGAGGCGCAAAAGTGCCTACCATCACCATGTTTTGAGTCGACTCAAAACTAGACCCACCACCAACGAGTGCCTACAATGAAAGAGGCGCAAAAGTGCCTACCATCACCATGTTTTGAGTCGACTCAAAACTAGACCCACCACCAACGAGTGCCTACAATGAAAGAGGAGCACAAGTGCCTACCATCACCATGTTTTGAGTCGACTCAAAACTAGACCCACCACCAACGAGTGCCTACAATGGAAGAGGCGCAAAAGTGCCTACCATCACCATGTTTTGAGTCGACTCAAAACTAGACCCACCACCAACGAGTGCCTACAATGGAAGAGGCGCAAAAGTGCCTACCATCACCATGTTTTGAGTCGACTCAAAACTAGACCCACCACCAACGAGTGCCTACAATGAAAGAGGCGCAAAAGTGCCTACCATCACCATGTTTTGAGTCGACTCAAAACTAGACCCACCACCAACGAGTGCCTACAATGAAAGAGGAGCACAAGTGCCTACCATCACCATGTTTTGAGTCGACTCAAAACTAGACCCACCACCAACGAGTGCCTACAATGAAAGAGGCGCAAAAGTGCCTACCATCACCATGTTTTGAGTCGACTCAAAACTAGACCCACCACCAACGAGTGCCTACAATGGAAGAGGCGCAAAAGTGCCTACCATCACCATGTTTTGAGTCGACTCAAAACTAGACCCACCACCAACGAGTGCCTACAATGAAAGAGGAGCACAAGTGCCTACCATCACCATGTTTTGAGTCGACTCAAAACTAGACCCACCACCAACGAGTGCCTACAATGGAAGAGGAGCACAAGTGCCTACCATCACCATGTTTTGAGTCGACTCAAAACTAGACCCACCACCAACGAGTGCCTACAATGAAAGAGGCGCAAAAGTGCCTACCATCACCATGTTTTGAGTCGACTCAAAACTAGACCCACCACCAACGAGTGCCTACAATGAAAGAGGCGCAAAAGTGCCTACCATCACCATGTTTTGAGTCGACTCAAAACTAGACCCACCACCAACGAGTGCCTACAATGAAAGAGGAGCACAAGTGCCTACCATCACCATGTTTTGAGTCGACTCAAAACTAGACCCACCACCAACGAGTGCCTACAATGGAAGAGGCGCAAAAGTGCCTACCATCACCATGTTTTGAGTCGACTCAAAACTAGACCCACCACCAACGAGTGCCTACAATGGAAGAGGCGCAAAAGTGCCTACCATCACCATGTTTTGAGTCGACTCAAAACTAGACCCACCACCAACGAGTGCCTACAATGGAAGAGGCGCAAAAGTGCCTACCATCACCATGTTTTGAGTCGACTCAAAACTAGACCCACCACCAACGAGTGCCTACAATGAAAGAGGCGCAAAAGTGCCTACCATCACCATGTTTTGAGTCGACTCAAAACTAGACCCACCACCAACGAGTGCCTACAATGGAAGAGGCGCAAAAGTGCCTACCATCACCATGTTTTGAGTCGACTCAAAACTAGACCCACCACCAACGAGTGCCTACAATGAAAGAGGCGCACAAGTGCCTACCATCACCATGTTTTGAGTCGACTCAAAACTAGACCCACCACCAACGAGTGCCTACAATGGAAGAGGAGCACAAGTGCCTACCATCACCATGTTTTGAGTCGACTCAAAACTAGACCCACCACCAACGAGTGCCTACAATGAAAGAGGCGCAAAAGTGCCTACCATCACCATGGTTTGAGTCGACTCAAAACTAGACCCACCACCAACGAGTGCCTACAATGAAAGAGGAGCACAAGTGCCTACCATCACCATGTTTTGAGTCGACTCAAAACTAGACCCACCACCAACGAGTGCCTACAATGGAAGAGGCGCAAAAGTGCCTACCATCACCATGTTTTGAGTCGACTCAAAACTAGACCCACCACCAACGAGTGCCTACAATGGAAGAGGCGCAAAAGTGCCTACCATCACCATGTTTTGAGTCGACTCAAAACTAGACCCACCACCAACGAGTGCCTACAATGAAAGAGGAGCACAAGTGCCTACCATCACCATGTTTTGAGTCGACTCAAAACTAGACCCACCACCAACGAGTGCCTACAATGAAAGAGGCGCAAAAGTGCCTACCATCACCATGTTTTGAGTCGACTCAAAACTAGACCCACCACCAACGAGTGCCTACAATGAAAGAGGCGCAAAAGTGCCTACCATCACCATGTTTTGAGTCGACTCAAAACTAGACCCACCACCAACGAGTGCCTACAATGAAAGAGGAGCACAAGTGCCTACCATCACCATGTTTTGAGTCGACTCAAAACTAGACCCACCACCAACGAGTGCCTACAATGAAAGAGGAGCACAAGTGCCTACCATCACCATGTTTTGAGTCGACTCAAAACTAGACCCACCACCAACGAGTGCCTACGATGGAAGAGGCGCAAAAGTGCCTACCATCACCGTGTTTTGAGTCGACTCAAAACTAGACCCACCACCAACGAGTGCCTACAATGAAAGAGGAGCACAAGTGCCTACCATCACCATGTTTTGAGTCGACTCAAAACTAGACCCACCACCAACGAGTGCCTACGATGGAAGAGGCGCAAAAGTGCCTACCATCACCGTGTTTTGAGTCGACTCAAAACTAGACCCACCACCAACGAGTGCCTACAATGGAAGAGGCGCAAAAGTGCCTACCATCACCATGTTTTGAGTCGACTCAAAACTAGACCCACCACCAACGAGTGCCTACAATGAAAGAGGAGCACAAGTGCCTACCATCACCATGTTTTGAGTCGACTCAAAACTAGACCCACCACCAACGAGTGCCTACAATGAAAGAGGAGCACAAGTGCCTACCATCACCATGTTTTGAGTCGACTCAAAACTAGACCCACCACCAACGAGTGCCTACGATGGAAGAGGCGCAAAAGTGCCTACCATCACCGTGTTTTGAGTCGACTCAAAACTAGACCCACCACCAACGAGTGCCTACAATGGAAGAGGCGCAAAAGTGCCTACCATCACCATGTTTTGAGTCGACTCAAAACTAGACCCACCACCAACGAGTGCCTACAATGAAAGAGGAGCACAAGTGCCTACCATCACCATGTTTTGAGTCGACTCAAAACTAGACCCACCACCAACGAGTGCCTACGATGGAAGAGGCGCAAAAGTGCCTACCATCACCGTGTTTTGAGTCGACTCAAAACTAGACCCACCACCAACGAGTGCCTACAATGGAAGAGGCGCAAAAGTGCCTACCATCACCATGTTTTGAGTCGACTCAAAACTAGACCCACCACCAACGAGTGCCTACAATGAAAGAGGAGCACAAGTGCCTACCATCACCATGTTTTGAGTCGACTCAAAACTAGACCCACCACCAACGAGTGCCTACAATGAAAGAGGAGCACAAGTGCCTACCATCACCATGTTTTGAGTCGACTCAAAACTAGACCCACCACCAACGAGTGCCTACAATGAAAGAGGAGCACAAGTGCCTACCATCACCATGTTTTGAGTCGACTCAAAACTAGACCCACCACCAACGAGTGCCTACGATGGAAGAGGCGCAAAAGTGCCTACCATCACCGTGTTTTGAGTCGACTCAAAACTAGACCCACCACCAACGAGTGCCTACAATGAAAGAGGAGCACAAGTGCCTACCATCACCATGTTTTGAGTCGACTCAAAACTAGACCCACCACCAACGAGTGCCTACAATGGAAGAGGCGCACAAGTGCCTACCATCACCATGTTTTGAGTCGACTCAAAACTAGACCCACCACCAACGAGTGCCTACAATGAAAGAGGAGCACAAGTGCCTACCATCACCATGTTTTGAGTCGACTCAAAACTAGACACACCACCAACGAGTGCCTACAATGGAAGAGGCGCACAAGTGCCTACCATCACCATGAACGAATGCAGATATGCTAATCGTTCGCCGGTGGGCAGGATTGCGGGCAGAGGAGCAGGCAGACAGGCAAGCACCACCAATCCCAGCCAGCAAACCACCCAAACGTTCCACAGCAAGGGGCAGTCTTTATGAATCAACGGATGAATCAACGGATGAATGAACGGCCTACCATGCCAAGCTTTAGCCATCCCTCCTTTCCCCTCCCTCCCACCGTTGATCACACCTTAGCTATTCCTCCCAGCAGAATAACAGCCGTGGATTCATCTCCCAGCCCTTCGATCCCAGCCGTCGATGCCTCCACGTTGGTGGCCTTGCTGTCGTTGATCCACGCACGATCCTGACCGTCCACAACCACTGCAGGATGGAGGGTGGGCGGAGGAAGAAAGGCGAGAAGGAGGGAGATAAGCGAGAAAGAGATATGCTCACCCACCAGCCCTCAGCCTGACTCCCAAATCCCAACAGTCTCACTCACTCACTCACTCACTCACTCACTCTTGCACTTACTCACTGACTCTTGCTCGCTCACTCACTCACTCACTCACCCAGCTCCATGCGGTGTGGTGGTGGCTGCAACACCTTCACTGCAATCTGCACCCCGTCCAACCGCACTCCACTGCTCTCCATCCCCAGCGCCAGGCACAGCAGCGCCGCTACAGCCGCATTCTCCGCGTTGTGCCTGCCCACAGCCTGTAACGCGGACAGATCCAGAGCCAGCACAGGGGCTTGGACTCCCGTGCTGCTGCCGTGCCCCCTGCTGCTCTCCTTGCACTCCCTGCTGCTGTCAGCACCACCGTCACTTGTTGTGGAGAGTGGCAGCTGCAGCAGAGCGGTTCTCTCAGCATGGTTCACAGTGCACCCGGGGAGCTGGCCCAGCCACGCCATGCTGGGGTGTCCCCCTGCCTCCCCTGCTAGTTGCATGAGAAGAGAATCACCTGTTTGAAGGTGGGTGAGTGGGACAGAAGGAGCAGAGGCAGAGGGGAAGTGCACTGGTTGGTTTTCTCACCATGCAAATTGAATATTTGAGCTACTTCTTGGGGAAAAAACTTGCACCGAGCTATGCAAGTACATTCGTGAGTCTTTTATTTCCGAACCCACAGTTCTACACAATTTGTTTAGTTCGCAAGTTTTTCACATCTTATGCCGCTAGTTTATTGTGCTATAGGTGCTTTGCGCTGCTGTTGCCCCTTGGCTTGTGCCACGTCGTTCGTGAAATCTTTATAAACACTGATTCTGTTGTTTCTGTTTTGTGCCGTCCTTATTATGTCCTTTCATTGCCTGAATGATGTGAATGCAAAAATAAGCAGCGCGCAGCTGATGAAGGTTCTCTCGTTGGAGGAAGAGGTTGTAGCCAACGGCTCCTATGTGGATTCTTGTTTCGCACAAGCGAGCAGAGACTATCTGAGTAACTCGTATGCTGTGGATCATCTGAATTTGGCCGATTTGTCACATTTGGCTGCTCTGCAGATTATTATTGACTCCACTGCTCCATCTGGTTGCCCAGTGGAGTCAAGAATGATCTGCAGAGCAGCGAAATGTAACAAATTGGCCAAATTCAGATGATCCACAACATACGAGTCACTCAGATAAACTCTGCTCGCTTGTGCGAAACAAGAATCCACATAAGAGCCTTCGACCCGAGACTCTTCCTCCAACGAGAGAACCTCCATCAGCTGAGTGCTTCTTATTTCTGTATTTTCATCATTCAGGTAATGAAAGGACATAATAAGAAAAACACAAAACAAAAACAAGTTGAGAATCAGTATTTTAAAAAAAGTTCCACGAACGACGTGGCACAAGCCAAGGGGCAACAGTAGCGCAAGGCACCTATAGCACAATGATTAGCAGCATAAGTACTGAAAAACTCGCGAACTAAACAAATTGCGCAGAAGGAGCTCTGAGGTCAGAAATAAAAGACTCACAAATAAACTTGGACAGCTCGGTGCTCTCACCATACGAGCTGCTTGGGGAAAAAATGGATCAGAAACAAAAGAAAAGAAGAAGTATCCAAAGCAGAGTAACAATCGAGGAATCGAAATCAGAATCAGAAGCAGGATCATGCACACCTGATGGAATGATTGCGACGCCAGACTCCCCAGGTGACTTTTGAGTCGACTCAATGTCACCAAAGTTACAAGCTTAATATAAATCAGAACCAGGATCAAGAATATCATACCTGACGGAATGATTGCCACGTCAGACTCCCCCATGCGCGCAAACAGACGGCACTTTGCCGCCCCGTAGCTCTCCATGCTGCCGTGCCTCTCCAGGTGGTCCGGCGTGAGGTTCAGAATAACCGCAGCCTTGGGACGGAACCTTCCAGGCAACTCCATCTGATAGCTGCTCACCTCCACCACTGCTGCCTGAGCAGGGGGAAAACAGTGGGTGTGGGATGGGCGGAGAGATGGGCAGCAGGGGCGAACAGGGGTGATGGTGAGCAAAGTGGGAAATGCAGGCAGAGGTGGGCGGGTGGGCAGCAGTCACGTTGGTAGCTGCTCACCTCCACCACTGCTTCCTGCACCAGGGGGGAAACATGTGGTGGGCGGGATGGGCGGAGAGCCAAGAGCAGCAGAGACGAACACGGGTGGTGGGAAGAGCTGGGAGGTGAGTAAGTTGGAAATGCAGGCAGGGGTGGGCGTGGTAGCTGCTTACCATCACCAATGCTGCCAATACGGTGGGCGGGTACGAGTGTTGGCGGAAGAGCAGGGTGGGAGTGGAGGTGGGGAGATGAGAGGATGGGTGCGACGAGATGAGATGGGTGGAGGTGGGGAGATGAGAGGATGGGTGAGACGAGATGAGATGGGTGGAGGTGGGGAGATGAGAGGATGGGTTGGGATGGATTGATGGGAGAGGTGCACAAGTGAAACAAGCGGAGGGTGGGTGTTGAGTGAGAAACATGGGGATGACTTTTGAGACGTCTCAAAAGGGAGGGGTAGGTGTTGAGTGAGAAACATGGGGATGGAGTGGAGGGTCTGGCATCTGTTCAACTCCACCACACCACACCACACCACTGCATCCTGTAGTAAATAGTTAATACTTGTTTCCTCACATCTGCTGCTACAGCTACAGCCACACCTGCTGCTACCAATACTCACACCTGGAAAGGTTTGGAGGTGCCAGTGTGACCATGCTGTGCTGTGACGCCGTGACAATATTTGTTTTGAGGCGCCTCAAAAACAGAACGAATATATACCTGGAATATACCTGGAAGGGCTTGGAGGTGCCAGTGTGACCATACTGTGACGCCGTGACAAATTCGAGGGCGGCCAGTGAGAGGGGCGTGCCCAGATTGCCGCCCACAAACGTGTGGATTCCAATGGACTCGAGAATCTGAGCAGGGAACAAGAAGGGGGCGTGAAGGGTGAGAAGGTGAGACGAGGCTGCCACTGCCAGTGAGAAGGGCGCGCCCAGATTGCCGCCCAGATTGCCGCCCAGATTGCCGCCCACAAACGTGTGGATTCCGATTGACTCGAGAATCTGAGACGGGAACAAGAAATGGGCATCAAAGGGAAAATAGGAGGAAGGGCGAACGGGGGTGAAAGGGGAAGAAGCTCAAAAGGGGAAACAAAAGGAGGGGAAAAACCGATACAGATGGCCAGGGAAGAGATCATCAAAGGAGGCATCAGTATGTGTATATTATAAAGAGGTCATTCGGAAGGCATTCTGAGGAGGCACCTCTCAGGGGAGGGAGATAGCAAGAAGAGATAGTAAGAAGAGATAGCAAGGAGAGACACTGGTTGATTCCTCCTCTTGCTATCTCTCTCCCCTTATTGACTCCCAAGAACCACCGTGCACTACACACTACTACACTAACCTCACATTACACATCAGCACCTGCCACGTCATCATCACCTGGCCTGCAAAAGTGGCGACAGTGGACTTGCCGTTGGTCCCTGTGACGGCAGCAATGGGCAGTCCAGGTGGCAGGCTGTCATAGGCGAATGCCAGCTCAGACAGCATCGGCACACCCTGACACGTGTGTGGGAGGGGGAGGAGAATGGAGGGGAGGAAAGAGCCGACAAGGAGAGGGGGAGGGGGGGGAGAACAGTGGAGGTGGGTGCGCGATTTTGGAGTGACTGAGACTACAAGCAACGATTGGGTTGAGGCAAACACGAGTGATAGGGAGAACAGGCGCATTGTGCTCCTCACCACTGTACATGGCGAGACGAGAGAGGCGAGAAGAGAGAGGCGAGAAGAGAGAGGCGAGAGAGGAAAGAGAGGATTGTCTTTTCTTCTGAGGCATGTACGTGGTGGAAGCTCGTACATGAGAAAGCGAGTTGACTTTTGAGTCGACTCAAAAGTCACACGTGGGAGCTCGTACCTGAGAGAGTGCCTGGCTTATCGTGGGTTCTGAAAGCAGTACACCAGGAGACAGGACGACGAGGGAGGTGGAGAGGAGGAGAGGGAGGGGGTGGGGAACCAGATGAAGGGAGAGGCGAGAGGCTTGGGGACAAGAGGAGTTAACGAGAGAGGTGGATTGAAGTGTCTTCTGGGGCATGTGAGAGATCGCACCTGAGACAGCGCCTGGCTTATTATGGGTTCTGATCTGAGAGCGGTACACTAAGGACTTCTGAGACGGCTCAATATCTCGTACCTGAGACAGCGCCTGGCTTATTGTAGGCTCTGAAAGTGGTACTCCAGGAGACAGGACGACGAGGGAGGCAGAGAGGAGGAGGGGGAGGGGGTGCGGACCCAGATGGGTGGAGAGGCGGGAGATGAGGGGAGGAGAGGAGGCGGGTTCTGGAAGCCCATCCCATACGCTTGGATCGTCCTGAAGGGTGGGCGAGAGAGTAGAGAGGAGAGAGAGGGGGTTACACGTCACGATCAGATGGTAGAGAAACTGCACGACGTGAGGGGATGGGGGGAGAAGAGGTGGGTTCTGGAAGCCCATCCCATACGCTTGGATTGTTGTGACGGGTGGGCGAGAGAGGGGAGAGAGGGGAGAGAGGGGAGAGAGGGGAGAGAGGGGAGAGAGGGGAGAGAGGGGAGAGAGGGGAGAGAGGGGAGAGAGGGGAGAGGGGGGAGAGGGGGGAGAGGGGGGAGAGGGGGGGAGAGAGGGGAGAGAGGGGAGAGAGGGGAGAGAGGGGAGAGAGGGGAGAGAGGGGAGAGAGGGGAGACAAAAACTAAGTGCATGAGGCGAGCGGAAGGGGCAGGAGAGGCAGGGTCTGGAAGCCCATCCCATACGCTTGGATCGTCCTGAAGGGTGGGCGAGAGAGAAGAGAGGAGAAATAAGGGGTTACATGTCATGATCAGATGGTAGAGAAACTGCATGAGATGAGGAAATTGGGGGGGGAAACATCCATCCCAGACGCGTGGATCGACCTGAAGGATGAGTCAAATCATGGATAGAGTTTTGATTATGTAGCCCCAACTTATGCCATACCATTGTAAGCCGCCACTTGGTTATGCTCCTAAAATCTAGTGCAAGAAAAAAGCATTGATCACAGTCGAAGTGCCGACTCAGACGTTTGCCTATGCACCCTAAAACTCTAAACCCGGTGCCTTGTGGAGCTGAGAAAGCGAGTTGACTTTTTAAGTCGACTCAAAAGTCACACGTGGGAGCTCATACCTGAGAAAGCGCCTGACTCAGACATTTGCCTTTGCACCCTCAAAACTCTAAACCCGATGCCTTGTGGAGCTGCCCAAAACCCTAAACCCTAAACCCGAAACCCTAAACCCTAAACCCTGTACAGACAAGTCACAGGCAGCAGCTCCCATACCCCGCTAAGCACACAACCCAAATGCCTTAACAAATGACCATGCGCGCACTTCCGGTGCTTTGGCGTCTGATCTCCTGTCCAGTCCAGGCCGACCACAGCAGCAGCTCCTCTTGCTAGACCACACTTCCCCAAATCTGAACCCACCCACCCACATGACATGGTGCTGACAGCAACAACAACACACGCACCTCCAGTGCCTTGGCGTCTGTCTTCCTGTCCAGTATACCTGTGCAAAGGGGCGAGCCGAGTAATGCTCGACTCGTCCCTAGCCTTGCTCGGCCGAGTACGAGCCCGAGTCGAGTAATACTCGACCGAGCAATTTTCCCCCAAACAGAAACTCGTTACTCGCCTTACAAAAGGGAACTCGGGCGAGCATTTAGAAGAGCTCGTCTGAGTACGAGTAAATACTCGGCCATGTGCCCTACTCCTGCATAGAACGACTCTGTACATAACAGCAAGGTGGTCCCAGGAAGCCTAGGGAAGCCCAGGAAAGCCCTGGGTTGCCCTGGGTAGCCCAGGGTAGCCTTGGGTTGCCGCAGTAAGCCCATGGAAGCCTGCTTAGACCTGGATAGGCGAGTACTCGTCGAGCAAAAAAAACTTGGCGAGTAAAACTCGGCTCGACTCGCCCGAGTAAAATTTACAAAAACCGAAACTCGTTACTCGCACCCAAACGAGTAACTCGGGCGATACCGAGCGAGTAACTCGTCTCGTTGCACAAGTATACTGTCCAGGCCAACCACAGCAGCAGCTCCTCTTGCTAGAGCACACCTCCCCAACTCTGAAGACTGAACCCACCCACCCACATGACATGGTGCTGTCACCAACACACGCACCTCCAGTGCCTTGGCGTCTGTCCTCCTGTCCAGACCAACCACAGCAGCAGCTCCCCTGCCTGGCGACGGCACACAATCCCATCCCTGAACCCACGTGTCATAGTGTCGTTAGCAGCAACAGCGCACGCACCTCTTGTTGATGTAGGGGGTTTCTAAAAATTCTCAAAAACACCCTATAACAGCGCTGAATCCACGTGTCATAGTGTCATGGTGATGTTAGCAGCCACAAACACACACACACACACATACACACACACACACACACACACACACACACACACACACACACACACACACACACACACACACACACACACACACATACCTCCAGTGCATTGGCGTCGGTCTTTCTGTCCAGACCGATCACAGCAGCAGCTCCCCGGACCCCGCGCTAGAGTATGCACAACAACCTGCAACCAACCCGCGCAACACACGCACACACCTCCAGTGCCTGTGTCCCAACCAACCCTAAACCCACATGTGATGGTGCTGTCAAGAGCAACACACGCACACACCTCCAGTGCCTGTGTCCCAACCAACCCTAAACCCACATGTGATGGTGCTGTCAAGAGCAACACACGCACACACCTCCAGTGCCTGTGTCCCAACCAACCCTAAACCCATATGTGATGGTGCTGTCAAGAGCAACACACGCACACACCTCCAGTGCCTGTGTCCCAACCAGCCCTAAACCCACATGTGATGGTGCTGTCAAGAGCAACACACGCACACACCTCTAGTGCCTGTGTCCCAACCAACCCTATACCCACATGTGATGGTGCTGTCAAGAGCAACACACGCACACACCTCCAGTGCCTGTGTCCCAACCAACCCTAAACCCACATGTGATGGTGCTGTCAAGAGCAACACACGCACACACCTCTAGCCTGTGCCTTGGCGTCTGTCCTCCTGCCCAGCCAGACCGATCACAGCAGCAGCTCCCCGCACTAGAGCATGCACAACCCCCCCCAACCATGGATGGACCCACGTGACAAGGTGCTGACAGCAACACCAACACACACACCTCCAGTGCCTTGGCGTCTGTCCTCCTGTCCAGCCAGCCCGATAACAGCAGCGGCTCCCCGCGCTACAGCATGCACAACCCCAACCCTAAACCCCACATGCTATGGCCATGGTGTTGCTGCCAGCAGAGACAACACACACACGCACCTCCAGTGCCTTGGCGTCTGTCCTCCTGTCCAGGCCGATCACAGCAGCAGCACCCCCTGGCAGGCCAGGGGGCACATTCCCAACGCTAAACCCACATGTCATGGTGTTGTCAGCAGCAACAACACACACACATACACACACATACACACACATACACACACATACGCACCTCCAGTGGCTTCGCGTCTGTCCTCCTGTCCAGGCCGATCACAGCAGCAGCACCCCTCGCTAGGGCAAGGCGCGCTGCTGCTCTGCCTGATGCTCCCAGGCCCACCACCTGAGAGGGGGAGCATGGGGAGGGAAGCAGGCATGTGAGAGGGATGAGGGTGAGAGGGACGAGTGCGAGAGGGACGAGTGCGAGAGGGACGAGTGCGAGAGGGACGAGTGCGAGAGGGACGAGTGCGAGAGGGACGAGTGCGAGAGGGACGAGTGCGAGAGGGACGAGTGCGAGAGGGACGAGTGCGAGAGGGACGAGTGCGAGAGGGACGAGTGCGAGAGGGACGAGTGCGAGAGGGACGAGTGCGAGAGGGACGAGTGCGAGAGGGACGAGTGCGAGAGGGACGAGTGCGAGAGGGACGAGTGCGAGAGGGACGGGCTTAACGGAGGAACCAGAGAGGAGGGGTGAGAGAAAGAAAGTGCAATACTTCAGAGATGCTTGAAGGACCATGCGGAAGGCCAGGATTCACAGATGATTGGTGTCCTTGCGAGGATTTAAGAATCGAAGGAAATCCTGTTAGAAAGGAACATCAGTAGTGACTCCGATGTCCGGCAGCTTACAACGACCGTCTGGCCGGCAAGATCGACGGCCGGAGTGTCACAGGTAACGGCTGGATCCGAATTCGATCCGCCTGCGGTCGCAACCACCGCCCGCCGTTGACCATCATGTGCGAGCGCTGCCGTCGACGCATTGTCCGAATGGGTGGCAATCTCAAAAGGAGCGCCGTCTGTTCCTCTAACGAACGCGTTTTTCATGCTTGCGAACTCTGAGGAGGCGAATTCGGGGTGGCGTGCTAGAAAACGATTCCGCCGCCGTGTGCGCTTGGTCGCTGGCAGGACTGTCGGCACTGGAACGATGTCTCTACTCGAAGCAGCGTTGAATGGAGAAACGGGGGGATTCGAGAGTTGGGTGGCTGGAATCGCGGTCCGGAGATAAGCAGCCATAAAGGCGCCGGGCTCCCGGTGGCAAAGTGCTACAATTTAGTCGCCGTGCAGGCGTGCAGGCGCGGAGGCGCGGAGGCGCGGAGGCAGCGGGCCCGAGGAGGGAGGCGGTGGGAAGGATGCGAAGAGGCGATGTGGCGGGCCCACTACGATGCGGCGACGCACCGCAGAGGCGGCGAGTCAGCGCGCCTGCTGCTGCGAGGGTCGATGCGCGCAGCGCTCAGCCGAGCGTGCTGAGAGGACGCGGATACTCAGCGAGCAGGCGGACGGACTCAGGTGGGGGGAAGAGCCGTGGGAGCTATCTAAATGTGTGGTTCCCGCGTCTATGGGCTAGTACTGGGCTGCATGAACCATGTAAGCAGTAATGATTCTGGACGAATATACAATGTTAATAATCTAATAAACAAAACATGATCAGGCCAATTCTAACTCCAGCTCACCATGGGTCATCGTTTGCATCAACCACTGACTAACCTAGGTAATGTACATATTTACTTCATGGCGAAGACTTTCTGCCAAGATGGACGAGAGGAGATTCACTCCCACCATTTGTTCACATTAGGCCGTGATGTTATCACATCGGAATCGCCAGACACCCAGAGCATTGCAGTGTAAGGCAGGTGGACCAGATCCGCCAGGGAAAAGGAGGAGCCAGCCAGATAGTCATTTGAAGCCAAGCGTGCTTCGTACACGTCAAGGACTTGAGAGAGCTGTAGATTAAGACCGGAGGGAAGGAGGGGGGGAGGGGTAGGGGGAGTGTGGGGGAGGGGGGAGGGGGGAGGGGAAGGGTAAAAAAGAGAGTACGGAGTTGAGGTGGTGTATTGCGAAAGGCAGACAGGTGAAGAGAGAAGAACGGGCAAGGCGGGTTCATGAAACGGTACGTACATGCCAAGGAAGAAAAGAGGGACAACGGAGAGCTTTCCAGATGAACGTACCTTTGCCTTCTATTCAGCTACCTTGGCCTCGTCTGTAGCCAGTCCCTTCCTAGGCTTGAAAATCTTCTCAGCTATCAGCCCAGAGATAGGGGGGTTGTAGTTCTGAGATTCCACTTCCAGCCACAAATTCACCAGGGCGCGCTCCTGTTGCACACATGCAAGTAGGGTAAACCATGAAAGATTCGTACAGCGCGTGCCTAGGTCTAGCGCGAGTGACGACTGCAGCATCGTGTGGACTCCACACTGTAGAGCATCAGACTGACAAAAATAATTAAGGCTCTGGCGATAGGGTCTTGCCTTGAGGGTGGAGCCGAGGAGGTTCGTGCCTTGTTCAGCGTACTTATCAGCGACGTATCGTGCGATGGCTCGGGATTCTGCGGCGGAAAAAACGCAGGCGTGAGGTTCGCGGAGACGTCGCAAGCGGGCATGTAGGTGACAAAAGTGGAAAAACAACACTGAGAATACTTTCTACTTACCGAAAAGCTCAACATCCTCGTCTTCCAGCACAGGAATGACGCCGAACGGCTGCAAGGAGAACGATTAGGGTTCAGTAAAATAACTAGCAGGTTGATTTGCAGGAAACATTTGAACCTAAATCATGCGACGCGTGTGATGCCGCTGGCTGGCTCTATCACGGACCTGTTTCTTCTTGAACTCGGCCGATTTCTGCTCGCCCTTGGACAAATCTATTGTTACAAATTCGTAGTCCTGCAATGCATGTAAAGATGACAGTTGAAGGTAAGAATTTTAACGGCGCTGCGACGTAACGACTAACATGAGATTGTACTCCGAGTCGTACCGTAACATTTTTCTCTTCTAAAGCAGTAAGAACCCGTTTCGTGCAGGTCGAGAGCTTCAGACCATATAACTTGGTCTTGCTGGCGGCAGCCATGGCGTGCACGCGGCTAGGAACACGCAGTGAACTAACGAAGGGGAGAGGAGAAATGGCGATAGCACGCGAAAATGAGACGACCCTGGTAGCAGCGGCCATGGAATTTGTACATTATAAGCGCAAAGTATATCCGTTTTGTACATCACGACATCCAGCAAATCTCGCTCAGCGGCGTTAGGCAGTAGGGCGCTGTGCATTGCTGCAGTCTGCAGCAAAAGCCGTCCTCGTGGTTCCGACGTTCTAGAACCGTAGGGCATTGCTAGGAGGTTTCGGATAAGGCAAAGCGAACATCTGCAAAGCGAAGGCCAGAAATTCAACTCAGAATTTTTTTTCCTCGTTTAGTACGGTATAAGCTCATTGTGGTTTCTTGTACCAAGCAGGTTAAAGCTTTTGTATACATTTGCAATCACTGTTTAGGGTTGTACAGTATGCACCTGAGAACTTCGCCCAAACGAACAAAATTGAGGTTCGTGAGGGGTTTGGCGAAAATTTGCAGAATGAATGGTTCGTGGCACAGGAAGCTCCCCCGTCACTCAACCTTGCATTGACACTCACAGCCCCAAGCAGGATAAGTGTCTAATAACATAGCCACGACATAGATAGAGGAGATCTGTGCGCGTCGTGCAGCATTTATCGGCAGAGTCGGGAGCAATAGCTGGTAGCATCAGCCCGTTGCATGCACCTCGCGACGCCGCCACTCTTCTTACCGCCTCGCCCGCTGCGCGCCATTGGGGCTTAGCGCCGCGCCCGCTGCGCTCCTTCGTCCCGGTGAGCTCCCGTCCCGCTGCGCGCCTGCTTCCCGCTAAGCGCCACACTCGCTGCGTGCCCGCCTCCCGCTAAGCGCCCGTCCCGCTGCGCGCCTGCTCCCTGCGTAGCGCCTCACCCTACGCGCGCCTGCTTCCCGCTAAGATCCTCACCCGCTGCGCGCCTGCTTCCCGCTAAGCGCCCGTCGCGCTGCGCGCCTGCTTCCCGCTTAGCGCCCGTCGCGCTGCGCGCCTGCTTCCCGCTTAGCGCCCGTCCCGCTGTTCGCCTGCTTCCTACGTAGCGGCTCACCCTACGCGCGCCTGCTTCCCGCTAGGCGCCTCACCCGCTGCGCGCCTGCTTCCTGCTAAGCGCCTCACACGCAGCGCGCCTGCTTCCCACTTCGCGCATGCGCATAATCTTCACATTTCCCCCCCTTCTCTCCCCATGTTTCCCCCGCTTCTCCCCGTCATTGCCCCCCCCTATTCACCCTCCTTTGGCCTCCGTGCTTCCGCTCATACCCCCCCCTTCTCCCTCGTGGTGCCTCCCTTCACCCCCACGTTCCCCCCATTCTTCCTCTGATTTGGGCCCCTCCACCCTCACATTACCCCCCTTTATGCCCCTCAATTTGCCCCCTTTCACACCCCCATTTCCCCCCGAATTCAAGGCATCCAACCCCCCCCCCCCCCCCCCCATCCTCTGAGTTCCCCCCCTCCCCCTCTCCCACTCAGATTCCCTTCTACTCGCTCTCAAATCCCCCCTTATCCCTCTCAGCCCCACTCGCCCTCATTTTACCCCCTTCTCCCCCTCATCTCAGCACATTTCCCCCCCTTCTCGCTCTCATGGGTGGCGTTGTCCTCCCCCTCCTGTTGCTCCCCATCATCCCTCTCAACACCCCCTCTTCGCCCCCACATTTCCCCCCCTTCTCGCACTCAAATCCCCCCTTTCTCGTTCTCTTCTACCCCCTTTCTCCCAATCAGCCACTCCCTTTCTCCCTCTCATTACCAACCCTGGCCCCCTCTCACTCTCCCCAGCCCCCCTCCTCCCCTCACCATCATTTCCCCCCTTGCTCGCACTCATTTCCCCCCTTCGCCCTCTCATTACTCCCCCGTCTCCCCCTCATTTCCCCCCCTTCTCCCCCCCATTTCTTCCCCTCATCCTTCTCATTCCCCCCCCTTCCCCTACTCAGATTCCCCCATTCTCGCTCTCAACCCCCCCTTTCCTCCCATTCCCCTCTACTCCCTATCATTTCCACGCTTCTCCCCCCCCATTACCACCCTCGCTCCATCTCACGCCCCCGTTGCCCCATCTCATTTTCCCCCCTCCTCCCTCTCGTTGATATGCCTGCTCCCCTTCATTTCGCCCCCTTCTCCTTCTCAGTTCCCCCTTTTCCCTGCCATTTCTCCCCCTACTCCCTCTCAGTTCCCCCCCTTCCCCCTCTCTCAATTCCCCCTTTCGCTCTGAAATCCCTCTTTCCCCCCTCTACTCCCCTCTCCCCTCCCTCTTCTCCCTATCATTTCCCCGCTTCCATCTTTCAGGACCTCCCTCGCTCCATCTCCCCTTCCCCCTTGCGTCCTCTCAGCCCCCCCCCCCCCACCTTCTCACCCTCATTTTATCCCCTTTGCCCTCTCATTTCATGTCCTGCTCCCACGCATCTTCCCCCCTTTTAGCTTCGACTCCCCCCTTCTCCCTCATATCCCTCCCTTCACCCCCGCATGTAGCTACATTTCTGCCATCTCGGCACCCCCTCTTCGCCACCTCGTTTCCCCCCCACATCGGACTCAAAGCCCCCTTTTCTCCGTCCCGTCTATCCCCCTTCTATCTCTCATCTCCTCCCTTTCTCCCTCTCATTACCCCCCATTGCCCCATCTCATTCCCCCTCTTGCTCTCTCTCAGCCTCCCTCCCCTCACCATCATTTTCCATCCACCCTTGCTCACACACATTACCCCCTCTTCTCCCCCAACTGTCCCCCCCTTCTCCCTCTCATTTCCCCCCCTTCGACCCCTCATTACCTACCTGTCTCCCCCTACTACCCCCCTTTCTCCCCCCCATTTATCCCCCTTCTCCCTCTCCTCCCCCCCCCCCCCCCGCCTTCCCCTACTCAAATCCCCCCCTTCGGTGCTCTCATATCCCCCTTTCTTCCCTTTCCCCTCTTCTCTCTATCATTCCCCTGCTTCTCCCCCTCACTTCCTCCCCCACTCCATCAACATTCCCCCGTTTCTCCCTCTCAGCCCCCCCCCCCCCCCCCTTCCCTCATTTCCCCCCCTTCTCCCTCTCATTCACCCCCCTGATCCCCTACATTTCGCCCCATGCTCCTTCTCACTTCCCCCAATTCTCCCACTCATTTTCTCTCCTTCTCGACGACATGTCCCCCCCTTATCCCTCTCATTTCCCCCCCTGCCCCTTTCATTACCCCCCGTGTTCCCCTCATTTCCCCCCTGTCCCCCCCCTGTTTCTCCCTCTTCTCCCACTCATTTCAACCCCTTCACCATCTCAAGTTCCCCCCTCCCATCTCTCAGATCCCCCTTTTCTCCCTCTCAAACCCCCCCCCCCCCCTCCCCCCCTCTGGTCTCTATCATTTCCCCCCCCTCATTTCCTCCCTCGCTCCAACACAATTCCCCCGTTTCTCCCTCTCAGCCCCCCCCCCTTGCTTCCCGTTTCCCGTTGAACATCCCTTGTTATCCCATATATATTCCCTGTCACGCCAAGACGAGTAGGCGGTGGTCTACCACGAGTCAGCGGCATACTTCCCCTTCCCTGTCAAGCCATCCCCCCATCACTGCCCTTCCCCGACTGCCATGCTGTTTCCCTACTGCCCTTCTATTTTGTATCGTCCATTCCATCTCCGCCGCGCGGATTTGCCGCCCTGCTTTCCCCCTCCATTCCCTCCGCTGTCCAAACCACGCAGGATTCGTAACGGGAGGGTCACTTCATGGGGCATCCAAGAAAAATATCTGTGGAGACATGGACAAAGAGGGTGAAGGAATTGGTGAAAGCAAAGGATCAGGGGAATCTAGCAATATCAAAGCACATGCAGATCCCTATTTGTTACTTGCGTTGTGGCTTGAGCACTTTGATGGGAGAGGGACGTACGGCAACGCTTTCGGACCTTGTGTACTTCCTGTTACACGCTGGCCCAGGGGCAACCGAGACACTTATGACCGCAGCGAAGAAGGCCGGTAAGTGACCATCTACTCGTGGGCTGCCAAATTCCCAACATTGGTTTTGTCTATTAGCAACTACCATAGCGAAAAACGTGATCCAGAGCTCCACCATGCTCAAGATGGTGCCCTTTACCGTTCATTCACCCAACGTACAGGTGCGGACGGCGATACGGCCGAGAAGGCAGTGCAAGGCTGCCTGGAAAAGTACGCTGGAAAGTTTCAGGGGGGGAAGGATCGCATGGCCGGCCGACCTGATGCCCTCGTGGGAGGACAGCCAGCTGCTATCAGGGGTTTGGTATATGCCTTCCCGATAGATCATGGGAGCGATGAGGAGACTCTACGACGCGACACCACCGTTTTCCGTCAGGGTGGAGCCCGTCGAGGTGCAGCGTATGCTGAGCTAAAGCAAAAAGGTATGCGCTCCCAATCAGAGTTTAGCTACACTGCACAGCCCGCAAAATGATACCATGTCAGCGCTGTTAGTGTGTACGTTGCGAGTGACCCTGTAATCTGGACAGGGGCACGCACCGCGAACGATCAGGTAGAGGGCGATCCACGTGAGTGTGATCATCCTCTTCTCTGCCCCTACCATCCCCTGCCCCAAGGATGCAACATGGGCAGGTCCATTTTGTCTAGCCTTCCATGCCCATTACATCACTTCCGCACTCAGGCGATGGGATTTCCCCCTTTCCCTTCCATTCCTCCTCTGCCCCGTCCACCCCCTACCCCAGTGAGGAGGCATGGGCATCGCACGTTTTCCACCCTTCGGTACGGCGAGCCTCACTCAATCGGTCTTTGGCAGCGCACATAGTGTGGATGTTGTGTGTGACTTTTTTCTATGATCTCTATTATGTACAGCGGGAGAGGCCAACAGCACTGCTGCCACGCCTACGGTGCGGGATGTGAGCGAGGAGGAAGAGGAGCAGCATGACGTGGTGATTGAAATTGATGATGAAGTTCCGGTACAAGTTGGAGATGTCCAAGTGGAGATCGATCTTGAGATGGGAGGAGAGAGTGGGCAGCCCACTGCCACATCTGGCAAAGAGGACGGACACACACACGAAGTGTAAGTGAAATGAGAGGCGACGTACTGGAATAAGCGTATGCACGTGAAAGAAGGGTAAGAGGTAGATCATCTACATCAATCTAACCCATGATGGGTTTTGCTAGCCCAAGTAGTACCCTAAAGCCCAACATATTTTCCTCCCACCCCAACCTAGGCAGTCTTCGCTCCCGCTTCAAATCCCACTCCACGACTCAATATCAGGTTATACACCCCATTTCTCCCACTCATTAGGAACTCGCACGATCATGCGATCCCGATCGAGACCTCGCCCGGGCGATGGCCGGCACTCCCAACACTTGACGGACTGCGGGATGTCGTGTGTTTGCTGAGCCCAGTTCACATCATTCGGTTCTTCATGGTGGTGACACTGCATTGCACCATTAGCGGTGGATGTGGGGGCTCGATGCGGTTGCGCTCTTGGAAACTGTTGTGGGCTGCATTTGGAATGGTTTGGAGGTGTGATAAGTGTGGAAAATCGACGTCGCTGTGGTCGGTTGATCGTCAGCCACTGGGCTGCACGACCGACAAGCCAGGAAGGAAACGTCTCCCGTTGTTACAGCGATTCCTTGCGTCATTTGCTCTAGCGGGGTTTGGGTACACTGCGCTATCGGAGGTTGGTCGGAATCTCGGTCTGCCCATCCCATGTAAGAGAACCTTCTACAGGTACATGAGTGGGGTAGGTGGGCTGTGGGAGAAGATCGTAGAACATGCCAACAAAAGCATGGAGGTGGTGCGTGCAGCTATGTTAGCTCGGCGAGAACGTGGTTTTTGGTTGTGTGTTGACGGAAGGTGGGGCCAGCCACGAGAGGCGGAATGGTGTAGTGTTGCATTTATGGATCCCAGGTCACGTAAGATACTTCACTGTGTGACGGTGTCGAGATCCATGCTAAAGGTATCGTCGACTGAGCTAGAGGGTCAGGCATTCTCTTAGGGACTAGAAGACCTGAATAATTGGGGGTTTCCGGTGAAAGGTATCATCAGTGATGACGGGTCGAGTTTCAAAGCCGTAATCATTAAGACAGACCTCGAGCACCAGATGGACGTGTGGCACAAAGGACGTTCGTTATCACGGAAGTTTGTGAAGCACTTTGTGAATGCACGAAAGGCCGCACTATCCACCAAAGACGCGAACACTGCTGAGGATCTGTGGGATGTAAAGCTCGATGATCTCAGGGCCTGGTTGCGAGATCATCCAGGTCATGGCTTGAAGGGTCTACACAGAGCGCCAAAAAGGGAATTGATTGGTGCTGTTTGTCGTGTTCGGGGCTGGACTTTTGTGGATCTCTCCGGCGATAGCTCGCCGTATTTGTACCCAAAGATGCGTCGTGTATCGTATGTGCGGAGTGGGCGCAGTAGAGGTTCGACCCGCGCAACGTCTGATGCCATGTCGGTTGGTCCTGATGGGTGTTGCACGGTGGAGGGTTTGTCGCGGGAGGTTGTGGATGTGCCTGTTGCACAATCTCAGCACATGGAAGGCGGGGATAAACGGGTCACGAATGAAGCGTTGAAAGGGTTTGTTGCAATTGATATTCTGGATGATGGTATCACAGAGAGTCCGGCTGATCCAGGAGGGGTGGATTTACAGTACTCCGACGTGAGAGAGTTGTGGGGATACGATCCACATCCAGAGCATGGAGTGCGGCCAAGCTCTGTGGTGTCGTTCTTCCTCATGCAGGCAACTGCGTCAAACCATGCCGATGCAACTCGTGGCATGACGGGTGCCGCGACACGAACCAGCTCAACTTTGGGACCGCCAGGTGAGGCCCGAGCAAAGCAACTGCTTGCAGTATTTGTGTTTCGCTTTGCTTACACCCACAGCTCTACTTGGATGCCATATAAGTGCCGGTACGTTGAATTACACAATACCACAACCCCCATCCCAAATCTGTTGTTTCCTAAGGTACTAATGGTGACAGCACCACGGTGGGAGGTGAGGGCAACACTGCGCCGTCCGGTGGACCACGTCGCTGGGTGAATAAGCGACCCCGCAGTGGGAAGAGGGGAGCAGACGATTCGCTTGAAGAAGATGGCGAGGAGCATGGAGGGGTAATCGAGGAGATGACAGTGGCACAGCGATTCAGCGTACACTTCCATCACGTGATGGCACGTTGTGCTACACTCTGGCGAGCGGGCAGGCCGATGACGGCGCAGGACGTTGCTGATGAGATTGCTGTTGCAGCCGAGCATTGGGCTGGAGATCATTCACGCTGTGGCCGGGGTTCCGAGAGGCCAATATGCGTGAGAGAGAAGTGGGGTGCTGAAAGTGCATTGTATAAGCCTGGTTCCCGCACGCACATTGCTTTCAGGAAGTGGTTGAGCGAGAACTGTGGGGCTGACGAGATGAAACCATACGTGAGTGGGGAGTGCAATTGGATGAATGAGTCATTTCATTCATTGATTTGCAAGTACGCTCCGAAGCGCACCTTGTTTCGCGGAAGCATGCAAGCAAGGGTTGGATTGGCCGTAATGCACTGGAATCATTCTCTGGAGCGAGAGGTCCGAGCCACCAAAATCAGAATGCAGCGTGCAACTAGGGTCCGACGGGGAAAGACATCCCGGACCTTAGGGCCTATGGATTGGACCTGGGTAGACGATATAATGCGGGATTGGAACTGCATGACACTTGACCCTGTGACGAGTCCAATCGCCGCCAACGCCGGTGCTGCTGCTCCTTCCACTCCCCAACCACCCAACAAGCGAAGGCGTACCATCACCAGTGGATCATCTGAACCTAGACGTACACTCTTTGGTAAGTCCCCCCATATGTCTCAACGCGCATGGTGGTGCATTATACATGCAAGTAGACAACACATTTGCAATGCAGGTGTGACAATTGACCTCCATTTGTGTTGTTTGCAGGAGACGTCTCCAACGTCAGATGATTCAACCTGGTGGGCAGCATGCAACATTGGGGACTGCGCCCGTATGTGAGCTCCATTCTCACCCATCTACTCAAGTATGGATTGGTTTGCATTGCCTGCTGCATGCTGCGCCTTCCTGCATCCCTTGCTCCTGATGCGTCTGTGCTGTTTCTATGCTGCATTGGCAACTGACTACCGTTCCATCGACCCCTCCTGCTCCTGCCTGGTGTGTCCCTCCCTTGCTACCCCTTTCTGCTGGGTATGCCTTGCTGCCTGCTGCTTCCCAATGTAGCACTCGCTGCTCGGCACCTTGTCTTCCACCCCCCACACCACTCCCATCGGCCTTGCACGGGTGTATCTGCACTCACTCGGCACAGGTCTTTCAGGTTCAACCTTCCACCGCATCCCACCCCTGACTGCATTCTCAATCAAAGTGTATTACCTCCAGCTGCGCCGCTGGAGCTTCCGAGGCTGGCTCCGAGCCAATGGACACGACCCGAACCTGCTTGAGGCAACGGAGAAAAGCGGCAGGAGAGAGTGGGGAAGCGGGAAGCAGCAGGAGGGGAAGGCGTGGAGGAAAAGGAAAGTTGGGGAAGGGAAGAAAGAGGAGGAAGTGAGGGGAGGATAGGGGAGAGTGGAAGGAGCAGGGGAAGAGAGAGGATAGGAGGGAGAGGGAAACGAGGTGGGACATGGAGCAATGGAGACGTTGAGGGTTCAACTGAGTGAGCAGTACACTCAGGAGAAACTCGCCCTCTTCACGTCCTATGTGGGGAAGGTGAGACTTGCCTTCTTTCCTGGCCCTCTTTTCATCCTATGTGGGAAAGGGAAAACTTGCCTCGTTTTTTATTTTCGTCGCATGTGGGTGGGGGGGAGGGGAGGGGGTCTAGTCAAATAGATATGACTAGAACTTCTCGCGATGCGACCCTCACAAGTTTTGGACATGCTCAGAGCTTCTCCTTCTTCTGTTTCTCTCCTCTCTTCCCTCCATCTCCCTCCGTTCTCGCTCCATCTCCGTTCAGGAGGTGTGAGTGAGGGTGGAGAGTTGTGACAATAAGGCGCGCTCTGTCTTTGTGAGACAAAGGGGGCTGACCTGGAGGATAAGGAGCGGGTGGAGCTAAGAGAACAGCTGCAGGTGGTTATTTCACTTATGAGGCGCCTCAGAAGCAAGTGGGTGATGCAGGTGGGTGCGTGCACTTCGTGGGGGTAGAATGGTGTACGCATGTACGGCTGTACGCATGTTTGTTATAGCCTCCACAGTGGCATACATCAGTGGCAAGAGCATGGTATTTTTGACTTTGGGTTCCATGTCCAGTGCTCCATGTTTCATCGTAATCTACTGCTAGAGTGATAGGAATGGGTAAGAAACATGGAGGTAACTGTTGATAGCCATTTTGAAAGGGGACTATTCGTTCATTGTTTTTTCTAGATCCCTCACCCATCCCTTTCCTGCCCTGTTCCTTTATTTGATTCCTGTCCCCCCCTTTGTCTCTATTGTGTGCCACATGTCGCTCCCTCACAGGTGGAGGGAGTGAACGTCATGATCCACTATGGCAGCATCCGGCAGCTGAAGCAAGGACCATTGGACACGTGGCCCTTCCCCATTGGTCATGTAGGTTTCACTTCTCGCCCGTTACATTTGTGTGCGGTGGCAGAGGTAAAGTCAAAGTGGCGGTGGCAGACTGGACCAGCAACCTGAACCCCTTGATGCACTCTACAGAGGCGCGAAGTGTGATGTATCAATGTACCGCGCTTGCCGTCCAATATACTTCCTCTGCCTCACCCTTTTGCTCTGGCCTTTCTCGCGCATGTCCCTACCTCAACCACCATTCCCGTATTCCCATTTTTTCCCTTTATCCCCTCCGTCCCATGTCCTGACCCAGCACTCTCTGATGGTTTTCAGGATTGCAAGAACCCCACTTTGATCACTGCATATTTGCCCGCCGAGTAGCTACCTTTACAATGAAATGTAAATGCACAAACGTGGAAAAACCTTTATCACCAAGCCACGTAGCTTCCCCAGGTGCTTCGGAGAGCTATGGCTCCCCATGCCTACACTTTGGTACCTATCGGCTCACCATATAATGTTTGTGGCATGCAAGTGTACAACGGGCATGTGAATGCTCCCTATGGTCACCCTGACTCAAATACAGGTACTAGTTCCTCAAGACTACTATTGTTATGTGTTTACTGGCTATCACCATAATGACTACCCATAAACCCAACAAGCCCGTCACATTCAAAGTCGATCACATCTGGCATCATCTTGTCACAGTCGTTGAACCACACCACGTCGTCCTTGTCACATTGCACGTAATACCCCTCCGTGCCTGACTCTGGGTACAACGAGGCAATTACTACCTATATCAGCCATGGAAGAACCACCTGGTCATCAGAGTCATCCCCCAACAAATCAGAGTACTCCACGTAACAGCGGAATCGGTGGTTCTTCGGCTCCACCGGCACGTCGTCCACGCCCACCTCGAGGTTTGCGCCACAAGCTACTCGTATCACGCTCTCTACCGTACGTTTGGTGGCAAAACGACCAACACTATCTTCGGTGGGAAATGCTAGCCATCCAGTCGCCCACTTGCGTAGCACATCATGCTGTTTTGGGAATCGCATTGCAAAAGAGGGGATCGACCAGCAAAACAACGGAGTGCTAATGATCGGGGGTAGACCGGAGCGAACACGGACGCGTCGAGTGGTCCCGGGCGTCGGTGTGCTCCGAACACTGCTTGTTTGAATAGCCGCTGCTGGTGCTTCGGATGCACTCTCACGCTGGCTCCCGTCCTCGTTCTCTTCGAGATCGTCCTGCTCATCCATGCGTACCCCTTCGGGCTGGCGACGCATGAGCGCTCTACAGCGTGGCCTGCCAAAAACATTGCCAAGCATCACTGACAGAGTCAAAACCTCTAACATGCGCTTGAAGGATGTGCGGCATGGGACTATGAGCTGAATGGGTAATATTCACAATGTAAACGGGTTACCTAGCAGACCATCCAGTCCGGATGCGCTTGGCCGTGCCACTGCCCGTGCCTCCTTGATGTGACATTTGCTCCACACTCCATACTGGGTGGAAAGAGTTGCAGACAAAGTACGGGAAGGCGGGGAAGAGAGAGGGGATAAGATTGGAGCTAGAGTAGGGATATGACCAGGCCTGGGATGAGGGCGCAGAGAGGAGTGCGCACCTGAGATGAAGGCGCAGATGGGCAGGAAGGGGAAAGGCGGGAGCAGGGTGTAAGGCAGAGTGGGTGGAAAGGCGGAAGGAGAGGTAACGGAGGGTGGGGAGAAGGGAAAGAGGGGTTAGGGCAGATAGCGGAATCGGGGAAGCAGGACGTAAAGCACCGAGGGTGGAAACATGGAAGAAGGGGGTAAAGCAGAGGGGGGAGAGGGGGAATAAGAGCGTAAGGCAGAGAGGGAACAGGGGGCAGAAGGTCGTAAAATAGAGGACGACAGGTGGGGGCGAAAGGGGGTACGGAAGAGAGGTGCACAAGAGAAGCAGGGTGAATGCCAGAGAGCGAAAGGGTGATGACCATTGTAAGGCAGAGCGGGTGGAAGGATGGAAGAAGGGTGTAGCGAAGATAGGGGAAAGGGAAGAGCAGGGCGTAAGGCAGAGAAGAGAGAGGGGCAAGCAGGGTGTAGGGAAGAGATGGAAAAGTGGGTTTAGCAGGAAATCAGGGGGAGAACGCACGGTGGGGGAAGAAGGGTGTGGGTAGAGAAGGGAGAGGTGGAAGAAGGGCGTAAGGCAGAGCGGAGTATAGATCAAGAGGGGTGGGGGAAGAAGGGTGTAAGGATGAGAGGGCACGGGGGGGGAATGGGTGTAAGACAGAGAGGGGAAAGGGGGAAGATAGGTGCAAGGAAGAGAGGAAAAAGGGGGAAGCACGGTGTTTCTATGAGCCGGCATTGTGGGGGAAGAAGGGGGTAACGAGTGGGAAAAGGGGGTGGATGGAAGTGGGGAAGAGAGGGGAGATGGGGAAGAGAGGGGAGATGGGGAAAGTATCGTGTAGGGAAGAGAGAGGCCGGAAGGGGGAAGCATGGCCTAAGGCAGAGAACGCAAGTTGGGGGTAGAATGGTGTACGGAAGAGAGGGGTAAGGGGTAAGAAGAGTGTATGGAAGAGAAGGGAGAGGGGGGAGAAGGGGGTAAGACAGTGAACGCTAAAAGGGGGAAGAAGGGAGGAGACAGAGGGGAAGCAGGGGGTAGATGGAGTTTAGGGTTGCAATGTGGGAGATGGACAGGGGGTGCTGTTACTAAACAGCACGGAGGGGATTGCGCGTGGGTGGCAGGGGAGTGAGCGTGGGCGCCCTGGAGGAAGGAGCGTGTGTGACGGAGGGTACGGCAGGGGTTAGAAGGGTATGCGATGGGGGAGCACGGGGGAATGAGGGGGAGAACGGCGGGAAAATGAAAAGGAGAAGGGAGGGCAATGAGCGAGATAAAGGGGGGGAGGGGAACCCAAAACTGGTGGATATGGAACCCCGCAGGGGGGTTGAATGAGGGAGACAAAAGGGGAACCCTGGTCCAGTCTCATGGGGGGCAATGGGAGGGAGAAGGGGAGGAAACGAGCAGGTGAATGGGGGGGAAACGAGAGGGGGACAGGGGGGGAATGAGGGGGCACATCTGGGGAGAATGGAGAGAGAAAGGGGGTAGGTGAGCTTGGGAATGAGGGGGGGATGAGATGGAGAATGGGGAAAACCAGGAAGGAGAATGTGGAGACATAAGAGGGTGACGGGGGTAGACGAGAAGGGGAGGGGGGAAACGATAGGAAGGAGATGGGGAAACGAGAGTGAGAAGGGGGAGTGAATAAGAGGGAGAAGGGGCGAAACTGAGAGGCCGCGAATGGGGCAGTGGGAGGGAGAAGGGGTGAAAATGAGCAGGTGAAAACGAGAGGGGGAAGGGGGGGGGGGGGGGGAAGGAGGGGGCACATCCGGGGAAATGGGAGGGAGAAAGGGGGGAAATGAGCTTGAGAAGGGGGGGGGGAATGAGAGGGAGAATGGCGATAAATGAGAAGGAGAAAGGGGGGACATGAGAGGGAGCATGCGGGGCAGTGAGAGGGAGAAGGGGAGGAAATGAGCAGGTGAATGGGGGGGACGCGAGAGGGGGTAGGGGGGGGGGGTTGGGGGGTGGGGGGGTGTGGAATGAGGGGGCATGTGAGGGGTAAAGAAAGGGAGAAAGAGGGGATTTCAGGTTGGGTAGGGGGGGGGATGAGAGGGAGAACGGGGGAATGAAGGAAGGGGAAAGGGGGGACATGAGAGGCAGCACGAGGGGAGATGAGAGGGAAGAGGGGCGTAACTGAGAAGGAGAGGCGGGGGTAATGAAACGGCAAGCGCAGGAAACTTCTGGGGGAAGGGGGGGAAAGGAGAGGGAGAAGGGAAGGGGGTCATTTTAGGGAGTCGGGGGAAAGAAAGATGGGGAGGCTAGCACACGGAATGGCGAGGCTTGAGATGGAGATAGGAGGGACGGCTGGGGAGATAGGGTGGCGTTTAGCGGGAGATAGGGAGAGGGAAACGGGGAGAGGGAAGGCGGAACGGGGAGGTGGGAAGGGGTAATGGGCTGCGGGAAGGAGAAATTACAATGTGTGAAGGGGGGTACTTGCTGCGGGAATGGGAATCGGGGTGGCGGATAGGGGAAATGCGGGGCGGGGAGGGAAACCGGGGAGCCGGGAAGGGGTAATCGGGACAGACGGGAAATGGAGATGGGTGGGTTGGGTGGGGATAGACGGGAGGCAATGAGGGAAATTAGGAGCCAAGAGGGGGAAACGGGGAGGTGGGAAGGGGAAACGGGGAGCGGGAAGGGGAAACGGGGAGCGGGAAGGGGAAACGGGGAGCGGGTAGGGGAAACAGGGAGCGGGAAGGGGAAACGGGGAGCGGGAAGGGGAAACGGGGAGCGGGAAGGGGAAACGGGGAGGTGGGAAGGGGAAACGGGGAGCGGGGAGGCTAAACGGGGAGCGGGATGGGGAAACGGGGAGCGTGTAGGGGAAACAGGGAGCGGGAAGGGGAAACGGGGGGCGGGTAGGGGAAACAGGGAGCGGGAAGGGGAAACGGGGAGCGGGAAGGGGAAACGGGGAGCGTGAAGGGGAAACGGGGAGCGGGAAGGGGAAACGGGGAGCGTGAAGGGGAAACGGGGAGCGTGAAGGGGAAACGGGGAGCGTGAAGGGGAAACGGGGAGCGGGAAGGGGAAACGGGGAGCGGGAAGGGGAAACGGGGAGCGGGAAGGGGAAACGGGGAGCGGGAAGGGGAAACGGGGAGCGGGAAGGGGAAACGGGGAGCGGGAAGGGGAAACGGGGAGCGGGAAGGGGATACGGGGAGCGGGAAGGGGATACGGGGAGCGGGAAGGGGATACGGGGAGCAGGAAGGGGATACGGGGAGCGGGAAGGGGATACGGGGAGGCGATAAGAGGTAATGGGGACACGGGGTGGGGAAAAGGGGTGGCGGAGAGGGGATTTTGGGAGGCGGGAAGGGGATACGGGGTACGGGAAGGGGAAACGGGGAGGCGGAAAGGGGAATTGCGGGGCGGGAAGGGAAACCGGGGAGGCGGGAAGGGGTAATCGGGAGACGGGGAGGGGAAAAGTGGTGGCGGAAAGTGGAATTGGGGTGGCGGGAAGGGGATACGGGGTGCGGGGAGGGGAAACGGGGAGGCGGAAAGGGGAATTGCGGGGCGGGAAGGAAAACCGGGGAGGCGGGAAGGGGTAATCGGGAGACGGGGAGGGGAAAAGTGGTGGCGGAAAGTGGAATTGGGGTGGCGGGAAGGGGATACGGGGTGCGGGGAGAGGAAACGGGGAGGCGAAAAGGGGAATTGCGGGGCGGGAAAGAAAACCGGGGAGGCGGGAAGGGGCAATCGGGAGACGGGGAGGGGAAAAGTGGTGGCGGAAAGCATAATTGGGGTGGCGGGAAAGGGATACGTGGTGCGGGAAGGGGAAACTCTGAGGGGATACGGGGTGCGGGGAACGTGAATTGAGACGGCGGGAAGGGGAGGCGTCGTGGCAGGAATGGGCAATGCGGAGTAGGAGGGGGAAGCGGTTGAGGCGGGATGGAGAATTGCGGAGGCGAGAAGGGATTACGAGGAGGCGGATATGGGGGGGACATGCAGACGTTTCTGCAGTCGTTCCGTACCTCAACCTCGCCTCCCGGCGGCTAGAACGGACACGCTGTCGTTTTTTCTGTCAGATCAGTCCGCGTTTTTGCAACCACGCGTTCGGCAGTTTGGGCCGCGTCGCCCGCGTTCACGGTGGCGTGAAGAGGAAACGTGTTTCCCGGAACGCGTCGGACAACGAGGCGAGGCTGTAGGAGGGGGTCCGGCGGCGCCGTTATGTTAGAGGGCGGAAATGACTTCGTTGCGGACATGTAATGACGCCCACGCGTCTAGGCTTGTGCAAGTGGAACTCGGTAAAATGAGCTCGCTGTTTAGTCACGACCTGCTTAGCATCGGGTTATGCTACCTATAGGCGTAGTAGCGTAGATCCGAGAGTGGAGGGCATTTCGTATACTTTTGTCGACCCTAAAGTTTTGAATCAGCAGGGAGTGCTGGGTGCCGGGGCAATCTCCCTCTCTTGGTCAGCGAGGTGTTGGAGGGGTAATGTGGTTACCAATATTTCAGATTTCAAAACTTTTGAAACTCCCTTTTGCAAATGTATACAAAAGCTTTAAGTTTTTTCGCTTGCATGGTAATCTAATTTAGGTATATAGTTTTCTAAGCTAGTTGAGTTTCCTCTTACAGCATGTACGAGTATTCCACATGTTGGTCTACAATTCGTGCGAGAGCATGGAATTGCTGCTACATTACTCTAAAACAAAAAGAACTTGTTGAAGGGACGGTATGAAGATATTGATCAAATGCACTTCAAATCATTTATCACTGATTTTTTTTTACACAAGTTCTATATGTACATGACTACTTCATGGCAAATACTTTCTGCCATGATGGACGAGAGGAAATTCTCTCCCACCAGTTGTTCACGTTAGGCCGTGACGTAATGACATCAGAATCACCACACACCCAGAGGACTGCAGTGTAGGGCAGGTGCACCAGATCCGCCAGGGAAAATGAGGAACCAGCCAGGTAGTCGTTTGCTGCCAAGTGTGCCTCGTACACATCTAGGACTTCGGAGAGCTGCAAAACGAGAGGGAATCAACGAGAGAGACATACAAGAAAATGGCCGCAGGACCGACGGGGGCATGGAGAAGAAGGGGGTAAGGGTCACGAACAAGGATGTGGCAATGCATTAAACAGGGAGGAAAGAGGATTGCCTTTTGAGCTCACCTTTGCCTTGCATTCAGCTGCCTTGGCCTCGTCCGGGTCCAGTCCCCGCCTAGCCTTGTAAAACTTCTCAGCTAAAAGCCCCAAAACAGGGGGGTTGTAATTTTGAGATTCCACTTCCAGCCATAAATTTACCAGGGCACGCTCCTGTTGCACACATGCAAGGCAGGGTAAAAGGTATAAAGAGGGTGCGTCAGTTTTGCGCGAGTGACAGTTTCAAGACTGTGTAATAATCTAATAAGGAAGAACAAAAAACATTCTCAATGGCGAGAGGATCATGCCTTGAGGGTGGAACCGAGGAGGTTCGTGCCTTGGTCAGCGTATTTGTCCGCGATATATCGTGCAATAGCTCGAGATTCTGTGGCGCAAAAAAAAGACGTTATTCTCATGGAAACGTCACGAGTGAGCGTACAGGCATAATTCACGAAGCTGGAAGACTAAACACTGGAAAGCACCCTTTTTTTACCTGCTCTGCTTTGTACTTACCGAAAAGCTCAACAGCCTCGTCCTCCAGCACGGGAATGACGCCGAACGGCTGCAAGAAAAACAAATAGGGTTCAATAGAGCGACTAGGCCGCGTTAGTTCACAAATACCGTCGAACCTAAATCATGCGATAGTACTTCTGACGGCTAGAAGTTCTACCGCGGACCTGCTTCTTCTTGAACTCGGCGGACTTGTGCTCACCCTTGAACACATCCACTGTCACGAGATCATAGTCCTGCGATATATCAAAACATCGACCGTTGAAGGTAAAAAAAAAAAAAAAAAATCGTTGCGACGTACGATAACGATCACGTTGTATTCTGCACCGTACCGTAACATTCTTCTCTTCTAGAGCTACAAGAACCCTCTTCGTGCAGGTCGAGAGTTTCAGACCGTATATCTTGGTCCTACTGGTGGCAGCCATGGCGTAGACGCGGCTGGAGACGCGGAGTGAATTAGCGAATGTGAGCGGAGAAAGAGCGATAGCACTCAGGATCAAGGAGACTCTGGTAGCTGTGGCCATGAAAATCGATTATAATCGGCACAGAATACATCCATTTTGTACGCCACGACATCTAGCGCACATTTTCCAGGCGGTAAGCAGTCGCCTACTAAGCATCTGCGTCGGCTACTATTGTGCATTGCTGCAGTCTCTAGCCAGAGCCGGTGCTGACGAGATTCTAGAACGGCGGGTGGTTGCCACGAGGTTTCGGCATAGACAAGGCGAACACATATCACGTGATGTGCTTTTGAAGTTCTCCTTTTTAGCACGCGCATTATAGCATACTAGCATTCTATCCTGAGAGTATCACTAAATCAATGTCTCTTTACGTTCTACTTTGAAAAACTGGGCCACACCCCTGACTTGGTCATCTGCTTTTCCCAACGGCGGGGCAGCTTTTCAGGGCGAGTGATAAATATCAGCCCCAAAAGGAAGAACGCTGACCTCGTCAGCTGGATTGTCGAATCAGCACCGACTGAGCTGGCAGCTCCTGAGGATCTCTCCATCCCCGCTCTTGGAGAATGAGGTGGATGGCTTCTTGTGGAGGCTTCTAGGAAGCGAGACATGCTCGAGGCGCATTTCCGGGCCTCGAACTCCACGCGAACCAAGATCAGCTCTTTCGCCACCACGCAATTTGTTCTCCTGTCTTCGCGAATACACTAGCTGATCTTTCGCATGATTTTGGCTTCACGGCTGAGAAACACCCATCTCGGAAACGACACAGAAACAGTTCCGAAGGGGTGACACTGAGGAGCGCGCGAAAGTGAGGAACTCAAATCCACCAATCAGAGAGCCATGCCAGCCAGCAAAACCAGTCCCCAAGGAAGGGACGCGCAGCCTTGCGGAAGCATGTGGGGGTTGCGTGAGATCTGGGCCAAATACTCACCGCGGAGAAAGTTCTCCTCACAAAGGGTAGTCCCCGCACCTCAACCTCTGTCAGTTTTCCGCTTGGCGGAAACGTAGGCGCTATACAGACGAATCACAACATGCCACGCTGCACACCTGACAGGATCTAGGTCGTTGCAGCTTCCGCTCTCACAACACAACTGCTGTACCCTTCCCCTCTACCGCCGCCTTTCCTAAACCTCCGCTCTCCTCCCCGCGTTCCCCAAGTCCAATCTGTGCTGTTTAGTCCAGTCTGTTCACACATGAGTGTGAAGGGCGGAAGGACAAGAAATGTGGCGTGAACGGGGAAGGGGAGTGGAAAAAGGTGGAGGGGGAGTACTTGATGGGGAATGCGGGGGAGAGACGGGGAGTGAGTTGGTGGGGGAACGAACAAATGAGGGGGATTCGCACAAATGATTCTCTGCTTCTGTCGGCTGCTCTCCGCTCATTCGCAAAACGCTTTTGTTTACTGAACAAGAGGGGAGACAAGCGCAGCACAGTGAAGGGTAGAGGAATTGGGAGGGAGGGACACTGACGGTGACGGCTCAAACAAGAGCTAAAACTGCTTACTCACAGCTTCCACTACACAATTGACGAATTCGAAACGACGAGAGCGTAAACCCACAACTCGGCCAACGAAGCGCGCATAAGTGCTGACTGCACGCCGCTTCCGTTTGCTGCGCGCCGGTCCATGCCCATCGTTTGCGCGAATTTTTGGGTGTACCCGCCTGAGGTTGTCACTTGTAAGCTGTGAAAAACAGTCAAGTAGACATGGCTGATGTCGCTGGTTCCAGTTACGCTCTCGGGTCCGTCATGAATAATCAAACGGACAACCATTGCTCACCTCCGAGCAAGTTTTCGGAACCTCTTCTTGTTGAGGTGTCTGAATTGGTAAGTCCCTGCTATTACGGTATTCCGTTTACAATTGCGCTGTGTTAACTATTTTTTTCAGGCTCGCGCCGCGCGGTGTTTGTTCACAAAGCGGCGTCATTAATCCTTCGTTTGTTCGATTCTCTCCGCTGCGGTGTCTTGTTTCAGACGGTGGAGCTCGAGGCATGGGAAGACGACCTTCTGAATCTGTCCGGTGACGAAGCTGGCGATATTGGCGAAATTCGCGAGGATGTCGTGCCGGTCTCCGCGCCGATGGGTCCTCTCGAGCTTCCCGCTGTTTCTGCGGAATTCGGCGGTTCGTTGAATCAAGACGGCCTCGAAACGCCGTCGTCTCCGATGCTCTTCTCGCCGTTTTTTCCCGAGGACGGTCTGTCGGCGGAGGGTGAGGGGTTTCTGGATGGGTTGGCGCCGCTGAGTGCTTTTCACGAAAACGAAGAATCTCCTCTTGCCGTTCCGGTGAGTGATTGTGGTTGAGGCAGGGTTTTGCTGTCTTATGTTCTTTGTGCGAAAGTAAACCCTCTTTCCGTATACTTGGACGGTTTCTGTTCTCGAGCTTCCTGTCGTGTTTTTTTTTTTTTTTTTTTTTTTTTTTTTTGCCCTGTCTCTCCTATCGCCCTTTGTAAGCGTTTCCTCTCATTTCTTCCTCCTCTCTTAAACTTTTTGAGCCTCCTTTGCGTGCAGAGTGACGATCTCGACGAGCTGGATGCGATTCTCTTCCCATCCCTGCCCGGTAGCATGGCCAGCATGGCCAGCAGCAGCAACCTCAGCAGCCCCGCCGCTCTCCCCCCGCCGCAGCAATGCCACCCCTTCCACCATCGCGACCATCCGCGTCACAAGCACAAGCATAAGCACAAGTACAAGCGCGCTCACGCGCTGAAGCAGAAGCACTCCCAACAGTTTCGCGACGCCCCCGTTTTTCGGCGCGACAGCGCGGCTGCGCGCAGAGCGTTAGATCGCCTGCTGGCGGACGGCGGGATCGCCGGCAAGCGAGCTCGCAGCGCGCGTGGGAGCACTCGAGGCGGTTGCGATTGCGGCCATGACGGTGCGACGAACGAGAGATGCGCGGAAGGGATCATGCCGCTGGAGGGCCGCCCCGTTTGCGACGTTGGCGAGGACGATAGCTGGCGAAGCGAAGGCAGACTGTTACACGTGAAGCGCGAAGGGGGAGTGGCGGAGACGTTGAAGTTTGATCGCTTGGAACTGGTCGAGTCGACGCTGGGGCCAGTGGTTGATCGCATGAGCGAACCGAGGAACGTTGCGAATGGTGCGAACGTTGCGAATGGTGCGACCGATGCGAACGTCGCGGATGCCCCGAACCCTGCGAACGTCGCGGATGTTACGACTCCCGTCGCGAACGCTGCAGCGAATGGTGCGAACGATACTCCGGCTGCAACGAACGGCATTGACGGGCGAAGCAACGGCGGTGCCGCCGGCGGCGCCGACGATCATGTCGCGAGTCGACACGCCTTTTCGCAAAGCAGCATAAAGACCGGCGAGTGTCATTGCCGCGTTGAAGGAGGTGCTGCTTGCGCAGGCAAGAGCGAGGACAGCAAGAGGGTTAACAGTAAGCGCCCGTGGTCTTCCCCGCTCGTTGCGTATCTCCTCTCCCCGCCTTCCCCTCGCCCCGCGAAGCGCCGAAGTCTCCTTGTCACGCCCGCGCCGTTGCCAATTTCACAGGGAGATTCACCCAGTGGTCTCTTTTCGCCGCGGATGGAGACGAGTGTTTTCCGACTGCCCGCTGCCGCCTCCTCCTCCGCACCTGCTTCTACTCCTGCTCCCTCCGCCGCCGCCGCCTCCGCTTCCGCTGACGCGCTTGCTTCTCCTGGCGCTGCTGCTGCCGGCGCGTTCCCGTCGCGGCGGTGCTCGCACTGCTCGACAACCACAACCCCGCAGTGGCGCACGGGGCCGCTGGGCGTGAAGACGCTGTGCAACGCGTGCGGCGTGCGGTTCAAGTCCGGGCGCCTGTGCCCCGAATATCGCCCCGCCAACAGCCCTGGTTTCTCCCCGAATCTCCACTCAAATTTGCACCGGAAAATCGTCCAGATGCGGGAGAAACGCGGCGATGAGGATGGTGTGAGGGATTGTAGCGCTGAAGACGGGGTTGGGGCAGGGGAGGTCGCGAGGAGGGAGGTTCAGGGTCTAAGGAAGATTAAGAAGGTGAAGGAGTGTGTAGAGGGAGGGACGGTGGAGGGAGTGCAAGGGAGATCTGGAAATTTGGGTGCAGCAGTAGTGCAGGAGAAGGCCCCGGAGAGGAATCATGAGAGGGTTCAGGAAAAGGTTCAGGAGAAGGTTCAGGAGAGAGTGCAGGTGAGGGTTGAGGAGGGTTTGGATGAGGAGGTTGTTGTCATAAGCCCTGCCGCAAGTCCTGCCATAACCCCTGGCTTGAGCCCGCTGAGTGGTTTTGGAAGGAAGCATCGCAAGGTTGACATTGTTGCTGCCCGGCGAGCCGACGCCCAGGCAGCAGCGACGCGCGCGCTTCACTCTGCTGAGGGGGTTGTGGAGGTTCAGTTCGCTGCCCCTGCTGCTGGTCCTTCTGGTGCTTCCGGTGCTCCTGATGCTGCTGGTGCTTCCGGTGCTCCTGATGCTGCTGGTGCTTCCGGTGCTCCTGATGCTGCTGGTGCTGTCAGTGCTTCTGGTGCTGCCAGTGCTGCTGGTGCTGCCAGTGCTGTCAGTGCTGCTGGTGCTGCCAGTGTTGCTGGTGCTGCCAGTGCTGCTGGTGCTGTTAGTGCGGCGGCTGCTTCTACTGCTGCTGGAGAGGGCACACTGCCCTCTGGAGCTGCTGCAGTGATGGGTGGCTTGGGATCAGGTGGCGGACGTGTGGAGAAGAAGAAAGAAGATGGGTCGAACTCTGAGCGTTCCATGGCGAGTGTGGGTGGGAGTGCGAGTGCAAGTGCAAGCATGGTGGCACTTCAGAGGAGCTGCTCCAGTGGAGCTCACCTTACAACCAACTTTGTTGCCGCGTCAGCCTGATGGAGTCAGTCGGTTGACGATGGGTCAAAGTTTGAGCGTCTATTGCTGCTGCAGTTTCGGCTTGAGTGCCGATGCTGGCGCAGCCATTTCGGCTCTGTTCAGGAGTCGCTGTGGCGAAACCATCTGGCAGCAAATTTTTGCTATTTTTGTGTGATGCTTCAGTTGGGCCGATGCCTGCTGTTGGCTGTACAGTAGGCATGCGATCTACCATTCTTTTTGGTGTGGTTTGTTGTATTGTTTTGGACTTTTGCAGAATGCAAATTGTTCTTTGAGCTTTATCAGAAAGCTACAGTAGTATTATAGCGAACATTCCCTTGCACTCTGTAGCAAGCTTGATTTGGCCTGGAAGGTCAATAGCTGCGAAATTCTACATCGATTCGCACATGTTACAGGCCCACACGAATCGGATAAACCATCGGATATCCTCGCTATGGTATTTTGAGGACGTTACGAAGTTCGCATCCATTTTTGCTGCGCCCTATACTCCAGAAATCCATCTCTTGTTTCGTAGAAAGTCCACAAGGGCGACTGCGCGAGGCTTAGTAGCGGCACGTCCTTCTTCTCCTGAGCCACCGCCGCGATTCGCGCATCCGTTCAACCAGTCTCCTCCCGCCTACGCCCTTGCATTCCTCCCTCCCCATCTCGGTGTGCGCACATGGCGGGGGTCAGTTCCCCCGAGGACCGCATGCGCCACCTCGTTGCGCGGGACCCTTCCGCGGCCTTCGTTCCGCCGTCGCTCGCCTCTTCCGCCTCCGCCACGTTGCGCTGCCCGCAATGCGCCGCGCCGATATCCGTCCCCCAGCCCACAGTAAGCCGCTTTCAAGTGATCGTTGACTGAAAACGACTTACCTACGAGATCGGTAGCAGAAAAGCGTTTTATCGTTACGCTTCGTACGGCCTGCCAACCACGTCGTCATGTCACCAACGGTTGGTGCTGTGCGAAACGTATCTTTCTCCGCCCGTATCTTCCGCTGTTTGTTGTGGCGACGGCCAGAAAGAGTCAACCAAGTAACAACCATTCGTTTTTCTCTCGTGCGTTTTCTTCTCCTCCCGAGGTCTTGACGAAAATCAGTCTGACGTTTCGCGTTCCTTCTCCTTCCTTCCCCTTTTCGCGTTTCTTTCCCATCTTCCATCCATTCCGCCTCCCCCCCCCCCACCCCGTCTCTCCTCTCCCTCCCTGCTCCCTCACATCATGCTTCCCCCCTCATCCCCCCCTTCTTTATTCCGCCGCTTCTTCCAATCACCCAGACCCGCTCAACAGGCGCGGACTGCGCAGCAGTAGGCACCCCAGGCCACGGGGGAGCTTCCGCGCGGACAGGGGGAGGCGGAGCGGGGGGGGGCGGAGGGATGAGCGGAGGAGGATGGCGCATGGCGCCTTTTATGCGCGATAGCCTTGCCACGGTGAGGAGGGGGAGGGTGGGGTGGGGGGAGCGGAGGGGAGAGAGAAGGGGGGGAGAGAAAGGGGGGAGAGAAGGGGGGAAGAGAAGGGGCGGAGGGAAGGGAAGGGAAGGGAGGAAGCGGGGAATGAGGGGGAGGGTGACGGGGGGAGAGAAGAGAGGGTCCACAGTTACGCCCTTGGCGCATGGCGCATGGTGCATGGTGCATGGTGCATGGTGCATGGTGCATGGCGCATGGTGCATGGCGCATGGTGCATGGCGCATGGTGCATGGCGCATGGTGCATGGTGCATGGTGCATGGCGCATGGTGCATGGCGCATGGTGCATGGCGCATGGTGCATGGTGCATGGTGCATGGCGCATGGTGCATGGCGCATGGTGCATGGCGCATGGCGCATGGTGCATGGTGCATGGTGCATGGCGCATGGCGCATGGCGCATGGCGCATGGCGTATGGCACATCGCACATAGTGTATGGCGCATGGCGACTCTCATGTTAGCACAACCTCCATCTGAGTGCCTGCTTGTCTCCCCACCACCACCCTGCCTGCATCCTCCTTCTTGCCTGCCTGTCTTCCTCTGCACCCCCATCAGCTCGGCACAGCCATGGGAGGAACCATCGCGTCCGTCTATGCTTTCAATGCAGGTAATTGCACGCCGTGCCAAGGCTCCCATTTATAATTCTTGCATTCGCTTACCGGGTGATGTGAAGAGTGTGATTCTCACCCGGTGACTCTTTGACTTGATTCTTGGGTCAACTCAAAAGCAGTGTGATTCACTCTACTCCCCTTCCCCCCCCCCCCCCCCCCCCCCCCCCCCCACAACTCCCCCTGGCTCCCCCCTTCCCCCCTGGCTCCCCCTTTTGACCAATCAGTGATGCCGCGGCTGGGCAAGCGCATTCCAGGATCCAGGGGACTGCAATACCTAGTGGGGGTGAGAGGGAGCGGGTGGGATGGATGGACTGAGAGGGAAGTGTTGAGAGTGTACGTGCTGCAGCTCTTCTGAGAGGGAAGTGTTGAGAGTGTACGTGCTGCAGTTCTTCTGAGAGGGAAGTGTTGAGAGTGTACGTGCTGCAGCTCTTCTGAGAGGGCAGTGTTGAGAGTGTACGTGCTGCAGCTCTTCTGAGAGGGAAGTGTTGAGAGTGTACGTGCTGCAGCTCTTCTGAGAGGGCAGTGTTGAGAGTGTACGTGCTGCAGCTCTTCTGAGAGGGCAGTGTTGAGAGTGTACGTGCTGCAGCTCTTCTGAGAGGGAAGTGTTGAGAGTGTACGTGCTGCAGCTCTTCTGAGAGGGCAGTGTTGAGAGTGTACGTGCTGCAGCTCTTCTGAGAGGGCAGTGTTGAGAGTGTACGTGCTGCAGCTCTTCTGAGAGGGAAGTGTTGAGAGTGTACGTGCTGCAGCTCTTCTGAGAGGGAAGTGTTGAGAGTGTACGTGCTGCAGCTCTTCTGAGAGGGAAGTGTTGAGAGTGTACGTGCTGCAGCTCTTCTGAGAGGGAAGTGTTGAGAGTGTACGTGCTGCAGCTCTTCTGAGAGGGCAGTGTTGAGAGTGTACGTGCTGCAGCTCTTCTGAGAGGGAAGTGTTGAGAGTGTACGTGCTGCAGCTCTTCTGAGAGGGCAGTGTTGAGAGTGTACGTGCTGCAGCTCTTCTGAGAGGGCAGTGTTGAGAGTGTACGTGCTGCAGCTCTTCTGAGAGGGCAGTGTTGAGAGTGTACGTGCTGCAGCTCTTCTGAGAGGGCAGTGTTGAGAGTGTACGTGCTGCAGCTCTTCTGAGAGGGCAGTGTTGAGAGTGTACGTGCTGCAGCTCTTCTGAGAGGGCAGTGTTGAGAGTGTACGTGCTGCAGCTCTTCTGAGAGGGCAGTGTTGAGAGTGTACGTGCTGCAGCTCTTCTGAGAGGGCAGTGTTGAGAGTGTACGTGCTGCAGCTCTTCTGAGAGGGCAGTGTTGAGAGTGTACGTGCTGCAGCTCTTCTGAGAGGGCAGTGTCGAGAGTGTACGTGCTGCAGCTCTTCTGAGAGGGCAGTGTTGAGAGTGTACGTGCTGCAGCTCTTCTGAGAGGGCAGTGTTGAGAGTGTACGTGCTGCAGCTCTTCTGAGAGGGAAGTGTTGAGAGTGTACGTGCTGCAGCTCTTCTGAGAGGGCAGTGTTGAGAGTGTACGTGCTGCAGCTCTTCTGAGAGGGCAGTGTTGAGAGTGTACGTGCTGCAGCTCTTCTGAGAGGGAAGTGTTGAGAGTGTACCTGCTGCAGCTCTTCTGAGAGGGAAGTGTTGAGAGTGTACGTGCTGCAGCTCTTCTGAGAGGGCAGTGTTGAGAGTGTACGTGCTGCAGCTCTTCTGAGAGGGCAGTGTTGAGAGTGTACGTGCTGCAGCTCTTCTGAGAGGGCAGTGTTGAGAGTGTACGTGCTGCAGCTCTTCTGAGAGGGCAGTGTTGAGAGTGTACGTGCTGCAGCTCTTCTGAGAGGCAAGTGTTGAGAGTGTACGTGCTGCACCTCTTCTGAGAGGGGTTTCCGGTGCCTCGGCTGAGCAAGCGCATCCCAGTGTCCAGGGGACCGCAATATCCAGTGGGGGTGAGAGTGGAGGCATGCGGGTGATTGAAGGGGTGAGAGTGGAGGCATGCGAGTGATTGAAAGGGTGAGAGTGGAGGCATGCGAGTGATTGAAGGGGTGAGAGTGGAGGGCGAGTGATTGAAGGGGTGAGAGTTAGCATGCCGAGAACGAGAGTGTACATGCTGCAGCTGTCCTGAGGGGGTTTGTGGTGCATTGGCTGGGCAAGCGCATTCAGGATCCAGTCCAGGGGACTGGATTACCTAGTGGGTGTGAGGAGGAAGGGGTGAGAGGGAAGGGGTGAAAGGGAGGGGGTGGGATGGATGGGCTGAGAGGGAAGGGGGTGAGCGAGCGAGAGTGTAGTTCTGATGCTAAGGCTGCAGTTTTCCTCAGTTATTTCTATTTTTACCCCCTCCTCTTCGCTTCCCCATCCCTTCTTTTTCCTCTCTGCTCTCCCCCACCCATCTCTCCGTTCCTTTCTCTCTTGTGACTACCCTCTCCTCCCTGCTCTGTACCCCCTTCTGTCTCATCCCTTATCTCTCCTCTGTTCTATTCTCTCTCATCCCATCTCCCTCCTCTCTTCTCTCTCCTCCCTTCTCGCTCCTCATTCCCTCATTACCCCCCTCTTCTGTTCGTTTTTCCTTTCCCAACCCCCTCAGATCCCGCCAGTGGCAGTGGCTGCCGCAGCAGGCGGAGGAGTGGGAGGTGAGTGACTTCTTTCCCCTTCCTTTTGTGAGCTGCCGACTATTTTTTTTTAGGCATAAAACGAGGCGCATGAAGGGTTGCCAGTTGCAGTGGCTGCTGCAGCAGTTGGAGGGGTGGGAGGTGAGTGACTGCTTTGCTTCACGCTCCTTCTCCCTTATTTCTGCTTCGCGTCACTCTCCCTCTCCGTATGACAATACCTGCAGTGCTGGTGTGTAACGTTGTGAGTTTTCTTGCTTATTAGTTAATCACTCACTCAACCCCTCATGTCTAAGTTCGAGTAAACTCGTTGGTTTCTGTGTGTGAATCACTCTCCTCCCACAAGTATGTGTGTGGGAGGAGAGCGATTGTCGCTTGGTTTTTGCGTGCGTGTGTGTTCTTTTTGTTGACAAAAAAATCGACTACCATGTATGCGTACTGGCTCGTATTTACTGTAGGTTTTCTGTAGTGGACCGATTCGAAAAATCCGTAGCCGGCACCCTCCCTGCACTCATACTATGTCAAGCCAACACATGCTGCTGCTGCCACTGCTGCTGCTGCGGGTTCTGCTGGTGATGGTGCAGCTTGTGCTTATGGTGCTGGTGGGCCAGCCAAGAAGAGGCCTCTCAAATCTTCCTTCTGCCTTCCTCCCATCCCCCCTTCCTCCCTCTCCCGCCCCACCGGCCGGCACCCTCCCTGCACTCATCCAGCTGTGCATGTCGGCATACTCTGTAACATCCGCCTCAGAACATGCTGCTGCCAAGTGCAGCTTCTTCTGGTGCTGTTGGTGCTGTCGGTGCAGTCGAGGGAAACGTCTCACCCTCTTTCCCTCTGCCTGCCCATCCTCCCTCTCCCTCCCCACCAGCCGGCACCCTCCCTGCACTGATCCAGCTCTGCATGTCGGCATACTATGTCACATCCGCATCAACACACGCTGCTGTTTGTGCGGCAGAGCAAAAGGTCATGGCTGATGCTAGTGGTGCTGCTGGTGCTGCTGGCGCTGCTGGTGCTGGTGCTAGCGGTGGCGCTGCTTCAACGAGAGAAGAGGTGGGTCCTGCTTGTTTGTCTGGAGGCATTTCTCTTAACCATGTCATGCCATCATGCCATGCCATCTTTTTATGCCATCATGCCATGCCATCTTTTTATCATGCCATCATGTCATGCCGTCATGCCATCATTCTGTCATGTCATGCCGTCATGCCATCATTCTGTCATGTCATGCCGTCATGGCATGCTACCATGGCACCATGCCCTGCCACCGTCATGCATGCATTCATGCTCTCACAAACAACTTCTGCTTCACCTTTTCTCTCTCTACCTCCCTCACTTTCACTCTCTGCCACTCTCACTCTCTCCCCAATCAGTCTGATGCAGCTAAATGATCGCTTCACTTGACTCACTCTCCCTACTCTTACAAGCAGCCCTTGTTCCTCTGTAAGTGTTCCCAGCCCGTTTCTCTGGGGTTTGGTGCGCCTCAATAGCAGTCCTTCAGTTCAATCACTCTCTCCACTGTCACAATCGGTCCCTGTACCTTTGCGAGTGCTCTCACCCCCTTTCTCAGTCGCTTGCGCCGCATTCAACCGCACTAAACAAGGCCATTGAACAACTGCGCCACAAAGTGCCGGGCCAGTTTACATTTGTTTGTGAGAGTGTGCCCGTTTTGTTTGTGGGTGGGGTGGGCTTGCGCAAATCTGCGTGTGTCTGAGTGGGTGTTGTGCGTATGTGTGTACATATGTGAGTGAGTGTGCCAGTGTGTGTGTGTGTGTGTGTGTGTGTGTGTGTGTGCGAGGGGGTTGCTTGCATGCTTGTAGTGAGGTGTGTGTGTCCCTTCATACCCCCCTAGGAGGAGTAAATCTGGAATATCCATGTGGACCGGTGGGCCGGTGGCACTGTCGAAGGCATGAAGAGGGAGGGAGTCAGGAAAGGATGGAGGGTTTTTCCCCAATGTCTGGATTGCTAAAGATGGCGGAGAGAAAAGGGGAGGGAACTTATTAGTGACAAAGGAGATTACCTCTGTGTGTGGCGTATGCGTGACGCGCGTTGCCGATCTCGGCACGACACTGATCATTCTGTAGTACAAGCATGTAAAAGAAATGTAGGTTTGCGCTTTCGTATTCACAAACAACAGGACGTATCATTTGCAATGCTGAGTCCTGCACAGCAACCAGATGGTATGATATCATAAGTGACATTGGCCGTGTCCGAGTTCACATGACCGAATAATACCGTACAAGTGACAAGCAGTCCATTCTGAGATTGTTGACAAATACCCAGACTACAGTAACCTTGATGAAATGCAACTGTCATTAGTATCTCTTCACTTGTGAGTCAAAGCAATCCATGCTCATTCACGCCAAATGAAAGTACATGAGATTGGTAGATTAGAGAGAACCTACGCACAACACTAAAATAAGGTTTGCTTAGGCACGGTGGTGGTTGATGGACGTGGCAGGCTGAGTCAACATCAGTAATCAGTTAGCTGATAGCTCCTCCCAACTGCTCACCAGTGCTGGATCAGTATTCTTCAACCTGATCGCTCCCTGATTGACTTTTCCCACAAGTCTAAACTCGGCTGAGTCAAGACCGGTACTCAGTTCAGTTACCCGATTGCTCCTCCCCACTGCCCCCCGTTGCTAGAGATTAGTTTTCATCAACCCAATTGCTTTCCGTAAGACTCCTCTTCCTCCATGCTCTTAATAGCTTCCACGGCCCACCACTGCAGCCATGTCTAGACTTGGCTGAGCCAACATCCATCAGTACTCAGTTACCTGATTGACCCCCCCCATTGTTCCCCACTGCTCCCCATTGCTGGATCAGTATGCAATGCAACAACCTGATTGCTCCTCGTTAGACTCCTCTTCCTCCATGCTCCTAGTAGATTCCAACACTGCTTTTGAGTCGGCTCAAAAACAGACTCCTAATAGCTTCCGACTCTGCTGCCAAATGTAAACCTGGCTGGTTAAGTAAACCTGATTGCTCCTCCCCACTGCTCCCCACTGCCCCCCAATGCTGGATCAGTATGCAACAACCTAGTTTCTCGTTAGAATCCTCTTCCTCCATGCTCCTAATAGCAGCCAAATGAGACCTGGTTGAGTCAAGGTCAGTACTCAGTTACCTGATTGCTCCTCCCCATTGCTCCTCCCCACTGCTTCCCATTGCTCCTCCCCACTGCTTCCCATTGCTCCCCATTGCTAGATCAGTGTTCATCAACCCTAGTGCTCCCCGTTTGCCTCCTCTTCACCCATGCTCCCAATAGCTCCCAGCTGCAGCGCCAAATCCAGGCTTCAATGATTAGACTTGCCTGCCTGCTTGCTCTTCATTAGATTCCTCCTCATCCATGCTCACAATGGCTTCCAGCTCTGCACCCAAGCTTTTCCTTAACGACATCCCAATCCGCCTCTCCTTTGCCAGCTCATCCACCTTGACTGCTGCACTCAGCTCCTCCTTCCCCACCACCTCGTGCCTGATTCCCTGCAGCTCGCTGGCAACGTATGACATGTTGGGCCGGCTGGCAGTGCGCTCGGCGGTGCAGGAGAGGGCCAGATGGGCCAGGCGCAGCACAGCATCATCCGGGGCGTCCATGTCCATTTCCTTGAGGCCACCAGAGTTGTTGGCAGAGATGCACTCCTCCACCTGACACACACATAGTTGGCAGCAAGGGGTGGCGTTGAACAACAAGAGGGCCCACCAGGCGCAGCACAGCATCATCCGGGGCGTCCATGCTCGGGTCCTTGAGGGGAGGCCGGGTTGTTGGCGGAGATGCAGTCCTCTACCTGACGGATTGAATTGATGGAAAAGTGTGAGTGGAGATGGGACAGGGTCAGGGGAAGGCGCAGCACAGCATCATCCGGGGCGTCCATGCTCGGGTCCTTGAGGGTGGTCGGGTAGTTGAAGGAAGTGCAGTCTTCCACCTGACACACACATAGTTGGCAACAAGGGGTGGCGTTGAACAGCAACAGGGCCCACCAGGCGTAGCAAAGCATCATCTGGGGCGTCCATGCTCTCGGCCTTGAGGACGGCCTGGTTCTCAGAGAAAATGCACTCATCCACCTGACGGGAATGGAGGTGAGTGGGGATGGGGACGGGGACGGGGAAGACGCAGCACAGCATCATCTGGGGCGTCCATGCTCAGATCCTTGAGAGTGTTAGAGCAGAAGCACTGCTGCGCCTCAGGATGGAATGGAACAAGATGGATGGGGTTGGGAACAGAGACAGGTGGGTGGGGTTGGGAACAGGGGCAGGTGGGTGGGGTTGGGAACAGGGGCAGGTGGGTGGGGTTGGGAACAGGGGCAGGTGGGTGGGGTTGGGAACAGGGGCAGGTGGGTGGGGTTGGGAACTGGGCCGGGCGCAGCACAGCATGGTCCGGAGCGTCCATGCTCAGGCCGGCAGGGTTGTTGTCAGCAGCAATGCACCGCGCCGCCTGGAAAATGATAAACAAGGCAGCACACACGCCTCAAAAGTTGCAGGTGGAGATGGCGGAGGGGAGCAGCAGCGTGTTGCGTAAGTACCCAACATTCTTTAGACGCCTCAAAAGTCGCTCGCAGGTGGAGAAGGTGAAGTGGAGGAGAGCTGCAGCGTGTTGAGGAAGTACTGAGCACGCAGGATGCGGGCTCTTACTCACTCACATAGAAGCAGCACAAAAGCAGTGCAAAAGCAGCACAAAAGCAGCACAAAAGCAGCGCAAAAGCGGCGATTATTCACAGGAAAATGTGGCGGAGTACTGAACACGCAAGATGCGGGCAGTTACTCATTCACAAAGAAGCAGCAAAAAAGCTGCAGCAACTACCCATTGCAGAATGCAGCCGTTCTTCCCATCTCCAAAAAAAGGCTGCTTTCCCATGTTTCACAGCGACTTGTCACAAAGAAGCAGCACAGCAGCAGACACCTACCCATCGCAGAATGTGGACGTTCTTTCCATCACCAAAAAAAGGCTGGTTGAATCAATCCCATGTTTCACAGCGACTTGTCACAAAGTAGCAGAACAGCAGCAGATACCTACCCACTGCAGAATGTGGCCGTTCTTTTCACCATCGGACGTGTGGGGGCTGCGACCGGTGAGCACCACAAGCATGAGCACCCCGAAGCTGCACCGACAGAAAGGGGAGTGGGGAGGGGTTGGGGGGATCGAGAGCATCAGGGGTGGTGTTGGTGCACTGTTCAGTGTCTGTATAGGGGGTGGCTGCGACCGGTGAGCACCACAAGCATGAGCACACCGAAGCTGCACCGACAGTAAGGGCGGGTCTAGCGCGTACGTTTTCCGTACATTACAGTTCATCCAGTGCGGTAATCTGTATGGCATCACGGTTCAAAACGGTGCAATTTTAAAACCGCTGTGCACCGCCTGATATCTTTTCAAACCACGACAAATGTACTGAATAGTACCTGTAAATGTACGCGCTGGACCCGCCCTAAGGGAAACGGAAGAAAGGGGGAGGGGGAAAGGGAGAGGGGGGAAGGGTGAGGAGGGAAGGGTGAGGAGGAGAACCACGCATGGGGAGTGCGACCGGTGAGCACCACAAGCATGAGCACCCCGAAGCTGCACACACGCGGAGGGCACAACAAGGCGGGGGGAGGTGGAGGGGGGGGGGAAGGCAATGAACACTATCAAGGGTGGTTTTGTGGGGTACACATGAGCAAAACCCAAATACGAACACGTTTGGGTCGTCCATGTTGAGTCGAACACCTCATGTGGTGTTCGAGTGTTCAACAGAAGTCGATATCAATCCCGCAGCCGACAGTAAGCTCTTCTTTTGGCGAAATTATGCATGTGCGCGAATTTTGCCCCAGGAGGTTTTGGCGAAAGTGAACCTGCGGAATCGGCATCACGTGCTCTAGAAACTGGCACCTGCACAATTTGGATCCCGTGGACGACGTGCTCGTAACCGTGTGTTGAGCAGACTTGCACCTACTTTTGTAGGTGACGCACATGTGCGAGGGGTTCACCTGCAGATGCATCGTTGGCACCCTTAGTGCAACGTTTGTGGAAATTGGAACGAGAATAATTGCATTGAGCAGCATGAGGAGTACAAGTACCAAACCCTAAAGTGTTGTACCCCATATAAGCTACCCCACTACATCCTACACAGACTATAGCATATGAGTTTGACACACCCCCATAGGCAAAGTGGGGGAGAACAAGGGGTCACAAGACCAGTCAAGCAAAGCACAGCAAGCTCAGGGTGGATCACAACGTCACCACACATTCTGAGCACAAGTTCAAGGGCCACAAGGCCAGTCCACATGCAGGTATATATATATGAAGCTAAACATGCAAGTGCAAGTATATAAAGGTCAAGGTACAAGCAAGGTCAAGAAGTGAGCAAGTGAGGCAAGGTAGGCACAAGACCTAACAAAGTACAGAAGCGCTGATGGTCACAAGGCGCGAGTGCCTTGGTGAAGATATCAGCAGTGTTGGCCTCAGAGGCCACGTAAGCAAGGTGCAGCTGACCGCGCTGCTGCAGCTCACGAGCAAGGAAGTAGCGAAGAGCGATGTGCTTCGTTCTGTGCTCCAGTCTGTGCTCCCGACACAAGGCCAGCATGGCCTTGTTGTCTACGTACAGAACTGGAGGAGAACGAGGCAGCTCTCCTAGGTCAGTCAGCAGGTAGGTGAGCCAGCGTAGCTCCTGTGCAGCCATGGCCCCTACGTAGATCCCAGCCTCACAGCTGGAGCCGAGAACAGAAGACGAGCGGGTAGACCGCCACGAAACAGAGCCGGAACCAAGGCTGAAGGTGTAACCCTGTGACGACCGCTGCGTAGCCTGGTCGTCAGCCCAAGAAGCGTCTGCGTGACCAGTGAGGACCACTGGACTCCGCCCTCCAAGCACAAGCCCCATGCCCGACGTACTACACAAGTAGCGCAACACCCTCTTCGCTGCAGCCATGTGCTCTGGTCTGTGTCTCCCAGGAGCAACATAGCGTGCGAGAATGCTAAGAGGGTATGCAAGGTCAGGTCGAGTGCAGGTCATCAGGTACATGAGGCAGCCAACAAGCTCTGGGTACGGGCCACTCGACTCTACGGACTCATCCGAAGGCAGAGCTGAGAGCGAGTGGCGAGTAGACAGAGGAGTGGCCTGAGGCGAGGAGTACGTGAAGCCGAAGCGCTGAAGGACCTGCTGCACCATGTGTGACTGAGTCAGGGTAATGGTGCGCTGTGCTCTGTCCCGGGTGATGTGCAAGCCAAGGTAGCTGCGCAGTTCACCTAGGTCTGTGCACGTGTGTCTCTTCTGCAGCTCGGACTTCACGTAGGCGAGTCCAGCAGTGTCAGCTGTGGCAAAGACCAAGTCGTCGACGTACACGAGGATGTAGAACGGCGGCAAAGAAGTGTCGGTGCGCAGAAACAGCGACGGGTCGGCAGTAGAAGGAGCAAACCCAAGAGCCGCAAGTGTAGTCTTCAGTGTGTCGTGCCACTCACGAGGCGCCTGGCGGAGACCGTAGACTGGCCGCCGGAGGCTCCACTGGGTGCCAGGAGGAAAAGTCCCAGTGAAGCCAGGTGGGCGGCGCAGCCAGATCTCCTCGTGCAGGCTGCCCTGCAAGAAAGCAGTGCTGAAGTCAAGAGAGTGAAGCTCGTAGTCACGGTGAGCGGCTAAGTGCAGCAGTACCCGAAGAGTGGTCATCTTCGGGGTGGGAGAGAAGGTCTGAAAGTAGTCAACTCCCTGCCGCTGACTGAAGCCACGAGCCACGTAACGCGCCTTGAAGACAGGCGGAGAACCCGGCGGCCGCTTCACCCTGAAAATCCACATGCCACTGACGATGTTCGCCCCAGGCGGGGGAACCTCGTCAACGTAGGTGCCTGTGGACTTCCAGGAAGCCATCTCGGCGTCCATGGCTGCCTGCCACTGAGAGGAGTAGGGACCCTCTATCGCCTCCGCGTAAGAGCGCGGAGTCGGGATGTCTGGTGCATCCGGGTCTCCCTTAGGGGCAAGTAACATGGACACGAGATGGGGTGAAGCAGCCGCAAGACACTGGAACTCCTCCTGCCTGTCCTCAAGGACGTCCGTGCCAAGAGCACACTCACCCCCGACGGACGGAGGACAGACAGACTCAGACTCGGCGACAAGACTAGCAGCGTAGTCTAGGCGACAGCGAGCAGCGAAGTCGACAAGCTCAGCAACTAGGGCAGACGCAGCAGTGGACTCAAAGGAAGGGTCAGTGACTACAGTAGCAAGGAGACGCGTGACAGTAGGACTGGCAGCACGAAGGGAGTCTGACTCAGGGTCAGCAAGAGCAGGAAGAGAGGACTCAGGAGGAGAAGGCAAAGGGGCACGCAGTGGAGCTGTGGAAGGACGCAGAGACATCCGGTGCGTGCCGGGGACAGGGGGAGGACGCTGACGCGAACTACGACCACTAGTGCGAGCAGCACGGACAGGCGACGCAGGGCGAGACGCAGGCTCACGACGCTCAGCAAGACCTCCAGTAGGACCAGTGTAGGGAGAAGGAGCAGGCAGAGGTGAGGTAGGCTGTAACTGTGAGTCGGACTGGACAGGCGGTGGACACTCTAAGGGAGGAGCCGGACTAGCAGAGGGCGGAAGGCCAAGAACCTGCTCAAGGAGCGGAACGAAGTACGGCCGCGGCCGCGCAGCGCCCCCAGAACCAGCAGGAACAGCACCAGCACCCCCAACTGCAGCACCAGCTCCAGTAGCACCCCCAGCTCCAGCAGCGCCAACTCCAGCACCCTCAGAGGCACCAGCACCAGAAGCACCCTCAGCGCCAACACCCCCAGGAGCTCTTGCTCCAGCCGGACCACCAGAAGACACAGCAGGTCCACCAGCACCAGCACCCCCAGTAGCACCGACGCCCGCAGCACCACCAGTTCCAGGACGAGAAGTACCCGCAGGCCCAGCAGCTCCAGTACTCCCAGTATGAGCACCTCCGGGACCCGCGGCACCCTCAGCAGCAGCAGAACCTCCAGTGCCCGCAGCACCTCCAGCTCCAGCAGCACGCCTCCAGCGCCGGGCAAACCACTCTCGCAGCTTCTGTGGAGAGAGTAGCTCCCGTCGGGACGAAGCACCCGAAGAACCGCCAGGCCCAGCACCACCAGGCGCCACACAAGCAGGCCCAGTACCCTCAAACTCCGCACCCCCAGACGCAGCACCCCCAGGCTCAGCACCCCCAGGCTCAGCACCCCCAGGCAAAGTACCCCCAGGCTCAGCACCCCAAGGCTCAGCACCCCCAGGCGAAGTACCCCCAGGCTCAGCACCCCGAGTCGCAGCACCCCCAGACTCAGCACCTCCAGGCTCAGCACCCCCAGACCCCGCACCCGCAGGCTCAGCACCCCTAGCAGCACCAGAGTCAACAGCTACCTCGACAGGCTCGACTGCGTCTACCTGGGACACACCTGAGGGGGCAGGACCCTGAGGGGGGAGGGGGTCTACCGAAGGGGGACCTGGCGTAAGGAAGAGCGGCGGGGGGGGGAGGGACGCAGTGCGGTAGGGGAAGAGACGGTAGTAGGGAACCGACTCGTCAAACGTGACGTCCTGGGAGGACAGAACACGACGCGAGGTGGGGTGGTAGAACTGCCAGCCTGGCGCGTCAGGGGGGAAGCCAAGGAAGACGCAGGGAACAGCACGAGGGGACAGCTTGTCCGCAGACAAGTCGCGGACAAACGCCCTAGATCCCCAGACACGGAACGCAGACGCATCGCCCACCTTCCCCGTCCACAGCAAAGCAGGGGAGGTCTCTGGCAAGGAGACCCGGGGCTGAAGGTTGATCTGATGCGCCGCGTACCGAACTGCAAACGGCCACAGAAAATGGGGAGCAGCCGCATGGACCATGGACGTACGAGCGACGTCCATGACCATGCCAATGCGGCGCTCAGCAATCCCATTTTGCTGTGGAGAGTCCGGAAGCGTGAAAGTCTGGCGGATGCCTCGTGCGCGACAGAAGGCTCGCAGAAGGTCAGAGGAAAACTCTCCGCCTCTGTCGGAGTGCAGGCGCGGAACAGGTTAGTCCGAGCCAAAACTCTCTCTGAGCTGGAGACGAGCTGCGCGGATCCAGGCGATCAACACCTCAGTGACCTCACCCTTGCGGCGCAAGGGGAAGACCGTGGTGTAACACGAGTAGTCGTCAACCACCAGCAGGAAGTAACGCTCGTGACCCTGTCCACGGACGCGGGCTGGGCCCCACACGTCCATGTGAAACGTCTGCAGCGGAGCCTCTGTCGGAGGGAACTCGGAGGAGTGAGGAGCAGCGCGCTGCCGCCCCTCGACGCAGGGAACGCAGGTGGGGGCAGGCCCCGGAGGAAGGGGAGGGAGGGACCGGGGGAGAGCAGAGACAAGGACACGGGAAGCCATGCCTCGAAGACGAGGCAGGGAGGGGTGACCAAGGCGGTGGTGCCAGAGGAGAGTCTGGTGAGACAGGAGACGACACGAGCAGGGGGCAGACTCAGGGCCAGACCTGGACGCCGCAGCAAAAACCCGACCCGACGCAGCGACTGGAGGAGACTCAGTAGTCAGTGTGTACAGGCTCGACCCCGGCCGACGGGTAAACGTGGCCAAGTGACGGCCCGTCCGAGCACAGGTACAGTGGGTCGCTCGCTGACTCGCAGGAGTGAACTGGTGAACCCCTGCATCCTGGAGGTCAGCACCACTCACCAAGTTCGTAGAGAACGAGGGGAGGTAAAGACCTGACAGGGTGCCAGAAGGGGCCGCCGGACACAGTAGGACAGTGGAGAAGTGGGCAAGGACAGGACCCCCAGAGGGGTCTGCCAGGGAGACTGCCACTGGCCGACTAAGCGGCGTGAGTGTGGTGCGGTCTCGAAAGAAGGAGCGGGAAGCACCCGAGTCAAGGGTGAAGGTGTGGGTGGCCAGAGCCGACGCGGTACCTGAGAGCGCAGACTCACCAGCACCTGGGGCAGCAGACTCACTGGCACCTAGAGCAGCAGCCTCACCAGCACCTAGAGCAGCAGCCTCAATGCCTGGGTCAGGCGGAAAACACCGGTAACAGTCACCCTCATCACTAATAGTCACAGCATACATGGCAGCAAGAATAGCATCATAATCAAGATCAAAGATCGCAACACCCGCCCTAAACAGCTCGCCCCAGCGAGGGATCTCAGTAGCGTCGGGGAACTGGTGACGCCAAGCGTCCGTCAGACGGCCGAAGCAGCGCTGGGTGGAGTGCGGACCCCCACACTGCTCACCCGCGCGGTCGCCAGTACGGAGAACGTAGGTACAGGGGCCAGCACCCCCACCCCGCTGACGAGCAGTGTACCACTCACGAAGCTGCTGGGGGGAGGGGGTCTCACGAGTGCGCTGCTGCTGCTGCTGCTGGCGCTGACCACCACCGGAGCCGACCCTCTGCGTAGAGCCACCTCGACCAGCTCCACCTCCGCCGCCGCTACCTCCACCACCGCCTCCACCTCCGCTACCTCCGCTCGCACCGCCACCACCGCTGCCTCCTCCGCCTCCACTGCTGCCACTAGTGCCCCCACCCCCGCCACCACTCCCACCTCCACCCCCACCCCCTCCTCCGCCTCCACCACCTCCTCCACCGCCCCCGCCAGCTCCTCCAGCTCCCTTGCCGCCCTTGCCCTTGCCTGAGCGGCGTCTCCCGCTAGGGGCAGACGCCGCGCCGACCGACTCAAGACCAACGAGGTCGGCCGCAGCAGCAGAGGCAACAGAGGGCAAGAGGGGGGAGGGGGAGCACCCCTCAAAGACAGGGGTACGAGGGTCACCACGGGAGGCTCCTACAGCGACTATACCCTTCTCTGCTGCTAGGAGGCGCTCCTCGAGGAGGTCAACGGTGAGAGTGGTGGGGCAGACAGAGAGGAAGTGGTCCCTAACTGAACGAAGGGTGTCAGGGAGCCGGGTGACTATGTAGTAGAGGGTGATGTACATAGGGGGGGGGTTCTTGGCGCAGAACTCAGCAGGAAGCGCAGCGCGGTAGCGAATGTCACTAGTGCGAAGGTGCGTAATGAGGTCAGCGACTGTGGGAAAGGCGGCGAGGTCAGGGAAGAGGTACGGCAGTATGAGGCGGCTAAGAGCAGCAGTGGCAGGGGAAGAGTAGCGTGCAACTACAGCGTCGTACAAGGTCTTAGCACTCTTGTACTGACTAAAATGCGCACGCTCAGCGGTCGGTAAGTGGCGGCGCACAGCAAGGCGGGCAGCAGCATCGCGCGTGGCCCACTGTGAGCGAACAGTGGCGTCAGCATCAGCAGCAAGGGCAGGGGAGGCACCAGAAGTGAGGTCAAAGAGGGAGAGACCGTCTGCCCTATCGCGCTGTAGGAAAAGCTGCAGATCATCTACCCAGACCTCAAAGTCAACAGCCCGACCCTCAGCGTCAAAGGTGAGAACACTAGGGGTGGCCATGACAGCAGTAGAGAGGCAGTGAGCACAGTGGGGTAGGGCAGTGCAGTGGTAGAGGCGCTGCTCTTACCAGGCAAGTGAGGCGCTCCAGGGCAGGCTGGTAGGCGGCGGCGTCTCAGCTGCAGTGCGGCTCGGCGGCTCGGCGGCTCGGCGGCTCGGCTGCTCGGCGGCAACGGCGGCTCGGCGGCTCGGCGGCAACGGCGGCTCGGCGGCTCGGTGGCAGAGGCGGCTCGGCGGCTCGGCGGCAAAGGCGGCCCGGCAGCTCGGCTGAAAGGGCGGCTCGGCAGCACGGCGGCACGGCGGCAAGGGGCGGCAACGGGGCCGCTGAAAGGGGCGGCGACGGGGCCGCGGAAGGGCGGCTACGGGGCCGCTGAAAGGGGCGGCGTCGGGGCCGCTGAAATGGCGGCGACGGGGCCGCCGAAGGGCGGCGACAGGGCCGCTGTGGGGCGGCGACGTGGCCGAGGGGAGGAGGGGGCCGGTGACGGGGCCGCAAGGGCGGCGTGACGGGGCCGTGAAGGGGCCGCGAGCGGCTGTGAGGGGCCGCGAGGGCGGCGCGACGGGGCCGCGAGGGGCCGCGAAGGGGCCGCGAGGGCGGCGCGACGGGGCCGCGAGGGGCCGCAAAGGGGCCGCGAGGGCGGCGCGACGGGGCCGCGAGGGGCCGCAAAGGGGCCGCGAGGGCGGCGCGACGGGGCCGCGAGGGGCCGCTAAGGGGCCGCGAGGGCGGCGCGACAGGGCCGCGAGGGGCTGCTAAGGGGCCGCGAGGGCGGCGCGACGGGGCCGCGAGGGCGGCGCGACGGGGTCGCTAGGGCGGCGCGACGGGGCCGTAAGGGCGGCGCGAGGGGGCCGTTAGGGGCCGTGAGAGGGGCCACAGGGCGCGACTCGGGCAGGGGCTAAGCGCGCTCCGGGCAGGAAAAAAAAAACTCGCTATTCGGTGGGCCCTAGGAACAGTTCCCACGAGGGAACCTGCTTGATACCATGTGGAAATTGGAACGAGAATGATTGCATTGAGCAGCATGAGGAGTACAAGTACCAAACCCTAAAGTGTTGTACCCCATATAAGCTACCCCACTACAGCCTACACAGACTATAGCATATGAGTTTGACAACGTTGGCAAGCCGCCTTGCTGCAGCGCTGGCAAACCGCCTTCCTGCTGAATGGCAAGTCGCCTTGCTGCTGGGTGACAACAACGCTGCTAGGTGTGTCACATGTTTTCTGTAATGTATCGTCATTGTCTTGCATTGTAAGCTTCATGATTTTTTTCCTGCTAGTGGAACTCTTGTTAACTTTTCCTACGAGCACAACGAATTTGCACTAGTGTTAGACAACACTACAATCAGCCCATTCAACTCGTACGCTTCCCATGTAATCTACTCCTACTGTAGAGTGACTCTCCGCAACTGGCACTCGTCAAGGTGAAATAGATTCAAGTGTAGATGAACGATAGAGGACGAAGTAGGTGGCAGAGCTAGAGTGAGGGTGAGCTCAATGAGCTCTATTTTTCTAGTCGACAAAAGTCAAATTTGCTGCCTCTGAGTCACGCGACCAACGAGTCAATCTGGAATATGTTAATCGCAACCAATGTTGAACACGAATGTGTTCATGTACGACGCGGCTCAGTTCTCTGCGACGAACCGAACATAAACATGCCTGGGCGAAAAAGAATCGACAAACAGTTTAAGAAGGCGTCATGGCGAACCGAACAGTTTTTTTTTTTGTTATTTTGATCGAGGCTACTGTGGGGCACAAATGTAAACCACAAAACGTATAATCTGTACATCGCTCACCTTAGACATCGGTGGTTGCCTTGGATGTTCTGTGAGGCGTCTTCAACATAGCTCACCTATAGATATTGGTGGTTGCCTTGGATGTTCTGTGAGGCGTCTCAAACATAGCCCACCTGTAAACATCGGTGGCAGTGGTGGCCTTGGACGTGAGTGAGTAGATGGGATCCACATAGCCCGGTGTTCCCATCACCCGAGTCGTACCCACAGTGGTGCCCTCGCCCACCCTCAACAGCCCAGAATCGGCGATTTTGGCCTGTCGGATGGAGTAATGATTGAAACACGGGCAAAAAGCAAGGCGCACTTACATACAAATCCATATGTACACAATCTTAAAAAGGGAGTACTAAAGTCACGATGGTGTGTTCTTTGGTAAAAGGGGCGGTGGCAAAGATGCAAGGAGAATTGTGAAGCTGCTTCACCAAGAACAAACATTTCAAGAAGCACAGAGGTAACTGTTGTGCTTATCAACCAAGTGATATCGGGGCCAAAGTTTCACAGTGGTAACAGCTGGGGTTCCCCAAATCCGTAGCTCCGATATCACTTGTTGGTAATGACTTGTTTGATCACTTGTTAATATCCGTAGCTTCCCGGTTGTACTTGGCCTAAGTCGAGACATGATCCATTGCTCAACTGTAGTAGATCAACATTCTTCCCAACATTCTGCCTTTCGACATCAAAGTTGTCATAGTAGTATTGTTTCATTTCCTCTT